CAATATAAGAATAAACTCTGTTTCACGGACTCACAACTGTAAACCTACGTTTACCCCGCCCTGTATTCCCCAACTCCCTCCCTGAGAAACCATCTGTCAAACCCATTTGAAACATCTTAGTTTCATGGATTACAGTTAAAAATTAAAATGGTCTTAAGATTTTTTTCTAACTGTTGCACATCACCTTTCATTTTTGCTGTTATCAATGGTCACATTTGCAAGCATCTACCTTGTCCACTGTTATAGACTAAATGTTTGTGCCCCCCCCCAAATCTATATAATCTCCCCATGATGGGATTAGTGCCTTTATAAAAAGAGAAAGACACGAGCTTCCTCTCTTAATTACATGAGGATACTAGAGAAGGCAACTGTCTACAAACCACAAATAGGGCCCTCACCAAGAACCGAATCTGCCAGCACCTTGATCTTGGACTTCCAGCCTCCAGAACTGTGGCAAATAAATGTGTGTTGTTTAAGCCACCAGTCTATGGTATTTGTTACAGCAGCTTTCGCAAAGTAAAATTTCCACTCTTTGTGTTCTATTCTAACCAATTTTCTTGAGTCTCCTGGCCAGTCAGTGCTCAGTAGACAAGACATGCTAACTTAATGTCATCATCCTATTGAATTTATATTTTTTTGAAAATGATCATGCATCACTATTCTCAGAAGATATGTTCTAATGGCCTATTCCATATTTCCCTGTTAACCATCCCCAGAGAATATTAAGATCATGTTCCAGCCCTGGCCGGTTTGGCTCAGTGGTTGGAGTGTCCGCCTGCGGTCCGGAGAGACCCGGGTTCGGTTCCCGCTAAGGGCATGTACCTCGGTTGCACTTTGTCCCCAGCCCTGGTTGGTCGTGCGGGTGGCAGCCACTCGATGTGTCCCTTTCACATCGATGTTTCCCTCTCTTCCTCTCTCTCCCTCCCACTCTATCTGTACAAAAAAAGGAAAAATGTCCTCGGGTGAGGATAAAATAAAATAAAAATCATGTTCAAAAAAAAGTCTTTAGGGGGTTGTATAGCTGTGCAGTTCATTCAGAGATATGTACATGCAGATCTGTGTACATTCTGCCAATTACTCAGTTTTAATTCTTCCATATGACTGTACCTAAAAAGTTTATGCACAGGTACATGTTCTTTAGGTCCTGTATATGTGAAATGTCCCATGACTATTATTTAGGGATAGCAGATAATCATTTCTCTTGCCTTTTGAGGTTCTCTGCCTCATTGCTTTGTGAGCTTTGTTATATAGTTTCTTTGGTATTATAATATAGGTTACTCTCATACACATTTGTCAAATACAGCTCCAAGTGTTAGCTATATTCATTTATTGGACTCTATGTGCTAGCCACTGTTATTTGCTCTACTTAGACCATCTTAATCCTTTTAAGTGTCCTAAGAGATAGATGTTATAAGAAACAGGTTTGATGGAGCTAAGTAACTTGCTCAAAGTCACATGACAGAGCTGGGATTATGACTTGTTTCCTTTTGCAGGTGAAGGGATGTGAAGGCTCAGTAAGGTAGTTTATTCAAGTTTACATAGCTGATTAATCACAGAGTTGGAATTCAAACCCTGATTTCATGACTCAAGATTCCGGTGCTCTTTCAGTTTCAGTGTTCTGAATATCCCAGTTACAGCTTCCTTGTCTGTGACTTACGAAGTGCTACCACCAAATCTATTTCATTAGATGCTTACAGTTGCACTCTAGGTTAGACTCAGGTATTGTGCCTCTCTTGTTTTGGATGATGAAACTGAGACTTAGGTTGAAAGAATTGTTGTGGTTTAATAGCAAGTAAGTAAATCTGATCCTTAACCTAACCCTTTCAGTATAGTCCTTCCCTATATAAAAGTTGTAGAAAACTTTGTCTTTTGCACCTTTTTTATGGAGAAATTCTCCCTTGTGTCATTTCTACTTGTTCCTGTAAACCAAACTGTCATGAGTTTTATTTATTTATTCTTTCTGACTCATTTTAATTATGATTCCTCTCACCATGAGACAGTGACTTGGATCTTCATATTGTCCACATTCTTCCCTTTTTTTAAACAGTAAATTCGTAATTCAGGAAACATCTCCTTAGAGCAGGTAGATTGTGGCCAAGGTGATTTTTATATTGTTAATTATATCCGTAGTGATAATACAGATGATGCTAGTGAATATGTCAAGAAGCTGGATAGGACTTTTTGACTGATTTACTTGTGTTTCTTTCTTCTTCTTTCTTTCTTTTCTTTTTTCTTTTTCTTTTTCTTTTTTTTTTGTTAATCTGTTAATCCTCACCCAAGGATATTTTTTCATTAATTTTCAGATAGAGGGAGGGAGACAGAGAGAGAGAGACATCAACTGGCTGCCTCCTGCATGACCCCAACCAGGGCCAGGGTTCGAGCCTGCAACCAAGGCACATGCCCTTGACTGGGAATCAGGCCCATGACTTTATGATCCATGGACTAACGCTTGAGCCCAACCTGCCAGGGCTACTTGTGTTTTTTTAAAGTAGCACATTGGAGCCCCTGCTGGTGTGGCTTGGTTGGAGTGCCACCACATATACCAAAAGGCTGCAGGTTCTATCCCTGTTTGGGGTGTGTACAGGAAGCAACCTACTGATGTTTATTCCTCTCCATCTCTCTGTAAAAACAATAGGAAACATATCCTTGGTTAAGGATTAAAACTAATAATACAAAATTAAATGCCCTGGCTGGTTTGGCTCAGCGATTAGAGCACCTGGTGTGGTCGTGGGGGAGGCAACCAATCAATGTGTCTCTCTCTTGTCGATGTTTCTCTCCCTCTTTCTCTCTCTCTGTCCCTCCCTCTCTCTGTCCGTTCCCTCTATCTGATGATAAGTAGGGGAAAAAAACTATATATATCCTCCAGTAAGGGTTAAAAAAATAAGTAAATAGCCCGGCCTATGTGGCTCAGTGGTTGAGTGCCGGTTCAATTCCAGTCAGGGCACATGACCAGGTTGTGGACCAAATCCCTAGTGGGGTCATGCACGAGGAGGCTAGTCGATGTTCTCTCATCAATGTTTCTGTCTCTCCCTCTAAATTCAATAAAGAAAATAAAGTAGCACACTGGATATAACTGCTGATTTTTTATTTGGTACGTGTCCCTAGCAGGAACCGAACCCGGGACTCTCTGGTCCACAGGCCGATGTTTCAGCTGCTGAGCCAAACTGGCCAGGGGATGACTGCTGATTTTTAGAACCACTTTAGTTTTTTCTGGACCTAACGTCATGTTGGTTCTCTATTATATGCCACCTTGCTTGTGAAGATCCCTCTTGGTTCTTCCTTGTGCTGTATAGTTGTGTATTCTGGGCCCTGTACAGTAGAAAATAGAGTCTACTTTTGGCTTTTGCTTTGGAAATTCTTTACTCTCATGTGTTTCTTTTCTGGAAGGCTGATTAGATACCTACCTACCTTGTGTGATCATGTAGAGTAGGCCTGATTATGAAATGATCTATAGTCACTTCATTTGTATTGCCTGAATTTGGAGATAAGTATATGTTAGCTTTTCTGTGGTTGTCTAAAAAGTATCTGATGGGCCCTGGCTGGTTTTTCTCAGTGGTTAGAGCATTGGCCTGCGGTCCAGAGACCTGGGTTCAGTTTCTGCTAAAGGCATGTACCTCAGTTGCAGTTTGTCCCCGGCCCTGGTTGGGTCATGCGGGTGGCAGATACTCGATGTGTCCTTTTCATGTTGGTGTTTCTCTCTCTCCCTCCCACTCTATCAGAACAAAAAATGGAAAAATGTCTTCAGGTGAGGATAAAAAAGTATCTGATGGTCTTCTCTTCCTAGATTAATGTTTTCTGCTGAAAATAAAATGTAATGAAGCACTTGGTTCTTTGGTTGATTAGCCTGGACTTGTTAAATGGTCTTTCATATGTCATAGGGAATACATTGAAGAGTTCTAGCACAGGTATACTATAACATCATAGTTCCCATTTTCAAGAAGTCTCTCTAGCTGTTTAGCCTTCAACAGCAGCTAAAGCCACTCAGGTTGATCACATAAACTCTTTTGTGAGTATAAATACAATGCTGCATCCTGTTTTTCACTAAATCTAGGACAAATACCATGCATTTCAGAACTTTGGGAGCTACTTTATGATCCCTGAAAAAACCATTATACCATGTTCTGCAATAGCTGCTACTAATGGAGCTCAGAGGGATTTTATCTGTAAAACAGATATTTCAGTCAATTGAAATAAGCAATAAACATAGTATATTGATAGTCAAGGTAAGTACTAGCATTGCAGTGTCTTGACATTCCCCTGGGGAGAAGATATCTCAAAAATTGTCAAATGTGGCCCTGGCTGGTTCGGCTCAGGGGTTAGAGCGTCACCCCTTGGGCAGAAGTGTCTTGGGGTCAATTCCCGGTCAAGGACACGTACCTGGGTTGCAGGTTCGATGTCCGACTCCGACTAGAAGCAACCAATCCATGTGTATCTTTCATATCGATGTTTCTCTTTCTCTCCCTCCCTTTTACTCCATCTAAAAAAAATCAATGGAAAAATATCCTCGGGTAAAGATTAATAACAACAACAAAAATTGTGAAATGTGTTCCCCCTTCTGCTTTTTTCTAGGATAAGGATCTCACAACAGTTTTTCTATGGCCATGAAATTCATGTCATTTCTATTTGTCCCTTAAACCAAAGCACCTACAATGGTAGTAAGAAAAACAAAAGTAATAACTCTACAGTTAAAAATGTCTAGATAAGTGCAGTCATAGTTATAATAATCTTACATGGATTTCAAAGTCAGCTAGAGGCACAGCCAGCCATAAAAGATACAGTGCATTTATATGAGAGGAATGTGTATCTTTTCTGCATAGAATTTAAGACATCTTACCATTGAAACATGAAATGCCTAAAGCTAAATTGTATACGTCTTATAAAATGCTTACCTGTGGTTCAGTCAGCATGATTTTGCAAATAAATAAAATTGGTATTTTGAGAAAATCAATGACTATATTTAAGTAATCTTGCTGCTTTTGCATTTTCCCATTTGGATGCAGCTGAAAGTACCCATGGCAGACAAGCCTGGGAACACAGTGAATTTCCGGAAACTGCTATTGAACCGTTGCCAGAAGGAGTTTGAAAAAGATAAAGCAGATGATGATGTCTTTGAGAAGAAGCAGAGAGAACTCGAGGCTGCCAGTGCTGTAAGTATTTTCACGGGGAAAAAAAAAAGTGCTTGTGCAATTTGAGTGTTATCAAATAGAATTTTCATGGAGCCAGCTACTACATCTCCCTACTATAGGTGCCTGTTGCCTTTTTTTCATGTACAGATACTGTATTGATATCTAGAGGAATACTTTATCTCTTTTAATGCTGCATGTTAGAGCAGAGCTGCTCAATCTTCTAAGACAGGGATTCAGAACCATCTTAAGAGAGATCACTGAGTACCAGAAACCTCCTGAAATGGAAGCAAACTTTTGGGTATAGTTCATTTTTCGGAGGAGTAGGTCTTTAGTTGCAGTCAGATTCATGGTCCAGAAAGGATAAGGACCATGAATCTCAGTGTCTGTCCTTAGCATCTATTGTGCGGTACAGTTTTCATCGTCAAGATTCTATTATTCTTTATACAACAGCCAGAGGAGAGGACGAGGCTTCATGATGAACTGGAAGAAGCTAAGGACAAAGCCCGTCGGAGATCCATTGGGAACATCAAGTTCATTGGAGAACTTTTTAAACTCAAAATGCTGACTGAAGCCATCATGCATGACTGTGTGGTAAAGCTGCTGAAGAACCATGACGAAGAATCCCTAGAGTGCCTGTGTCGCCTGCTCACCACCATCGGCAAAGACCTGGATTTTGAGAAAGCAAAGGTAAAAATCCAGAATCTCTGAAACCTCCAGCAGGGACTCTGTCAGTTGTGAAAAAACTAAGACAGTCACAAAAGTGTTCCATCGTGCCCCTGCCATCGAGGCTGTTTATTTTCCTTTCTTGCCCTCCTCCTTGTCAGTGTTTGGCCATTGTGCCTTTACCTCATTTCCATTAAAGTCAGAACTGAAGAGGTCTCAAATTATAGAAAAGCCAATTCATGAGTTCAACTTATTTGTGCCTTGTCCTTTTTTTGCATGACCATTTCACAGGTCATTTGTAGAAGCAAATTGTGAGCAGAAATAAAGGGAAAAGATCTTCTATGGATCAGGACTGAGAATGATAGAGAAATGAAGAAAGCCCAGTAGCTTTCCTAAGTTTATGCTCTAATTAATGACGTAGCTATCTAACCATAGTATAAGAAATCATTAAAAAATGATTTAAAATCATTAAAAAAACATAATATAGTTCTGTACCAATAAGGGTTCGGGAAATTAGAAACACTTCAAAGAAATGTCAGAAATGTTTCATAACACCTGAATCAGCAAGGATTATGTTTGGCTGTGACAGAAAACCCCAAATATTAGTGGTTTATAGAAGATTGAGGTTTATTTCTCATTTGTGTAAGTAAGTAGTCTGAGACTAGTCTGGTGGCTCAGAGATGATCAAAAAAACAAGTTTCTCCAGCTTAACGTTCTGTTATTCCTACGATGTAGCCCTTGTCCCTAATGTTCTCAGCAGAAAGGTTGGAAAGGGGCAAAGGACTTAGCCACCTCTTTCTTAAGGAAGGTTCCAGGGAACTGTAGTATGGCATTTCCATGTATATTCTGTTGGCCTATAATTAGTCATTTGACCAAGGCCAGCTGCCTGAAATATGTAGCTTTCATTTTGGGTGACATTAAAATTCTACCACAATTAAAAATTCTACCACATTACCTTTTGGCTATAAGTTGTATTCCTGGACCATTTAAAATTCTACATGGTAAAATTACATTCGAATTCCTCAGCCAGGAATACTAATGATTTTATCTGTTGTAGCCACGAATGGACCAGTATTTTAATCAGATGGAGAAAATTGTGAAAGAAAGAAAAACCTCATCTAGAATTCGATTCATGCTTCAGGATGTGATAGACCTAAGGCTGGTAAGTAGAAAAATAATAAGCCAACCACTCCAGTCTCTCTTAAGGAATTGCACTGGAGAGGATGTCCTAGTATTTACATACGTAAAAACCTAACACTTTTGCTGTAGGACTCTCAGAAATTGAATTGACAAAGTTTCATGGAGAGCTGTGTGAAAGGACGAACGCCTGATACGTGTTTCTTTACTCTGATTATCAAACCACATTGCGGTTTTGAAATCAGCCACTGTGAATTCAAACTGGTCAAATTAAATTTACTCTTAGGATGCTAAATAATCAGGAAGCCTCACCTTCAAAATGAATACTTTTAACTTCCCTGAGCCTTATATTTTTAGTCTCTAAAATGGGGATGTTGCCTACCTTGTAGATGTGTTGTAAAGATTCAGTGAGGGAATCATGTAAAATGCCTAGCCTTTTAGGAGATGTTTTCTCCTCTGTTGTTTTTCTATATACCATCCAGTGGTGTTCTTTCATTTTCTTCATTTCTCATACTGGAAACAGTTTTTACCACTACCACTTCTTTAGTCTTGTTGTTTTAACTCCTGCAGGGTATACTGCAGCTGACCCTAAACTAGAAAAGGTGAATATAGATCCCTCCTCTTCCCTGCCCTGCAACCAGATCAGATAGCATTGGTGTTGGTTCTTTATCTTGCTGAGCCCAGATATGATCTCAGAATCCTTCTTATTGTGAAAGCCACTCCCAGTTGATCAGAAATTGAATGCTGATTTAAACCTATTTGATACTCTTGCCTCTAGCTAATATAAAAATGTAAATATAAAAAACTTCACTCAATCCTTCAACCACTTGTACTTATATCAAATATTAGGACTGTAGCTGAGTAGGGAATGAACAAGAGAAGTGTAATTATAAGGAGACAGCTTGTTTTGTCTTATTTCATGGAGAGAAAAACCAAAGAACAGTGGTGTGATACTTTGTGTAGGTTACCAGAACCATGATATGAAAGAAAAATGCTAGTCATCCTCAATTCAGAATCCCCATGGAGTGAGGTAGGAAGCGAGTAGCAATTAAGGCAGGGCCAAAGAATACAGATCCTTCTGGACTCCTTCTCTCTCCTCCTTTCAAATACACAAAACAAGAAAGAAAAACATTCAGGCTAGTCTTTTTCTCTTTTTACCCACTGCTATTTGAATGCTCAGTATACAGTAGTTCAGGGTTGATTGAGAAGAATTGAATTATTTAGCTCTAATCCCCAAACTGCACATAGTGCCACCTGTAAAATAGATGAAAAACTGCTGAAGTAACAGATTTTATAAGTATTTTATACTTTTTCAGCAGTGAACAGTATAAAATAGGTTTTCAGCCCTGGCCGGTTTGGCTCAGCAGTTAGAGCACTGGCCCGTGGACCAATGAGTCCCAGGTTCAATTCTAGTCAAGGCCACGTACCTCAGTAGTGGTTTGTCCCTGGCCCTGGTTGGGGTCGTGCAGGCTGCCAGTCGATGTATCTCTCTCACATAAATGTTTCCCTCTCTCTTTCCCTCCTTCCCACTTTATCTCAAGATAAATAGAAAAATATTCTCAGGTGAGGATTAAAAATAATAATAAAATCGATTTTCAAACTTTTTAAATTTCTAGTTATCTGGCTGATAACCTTATTTTCTCCTTTTATAGTGTAATTGGGTATCTCGAAGAGCAGATCAAGGGCCTAAAACTATTGAGCAGATTCACAAAGAAGCTAAAATAGAAGAACAAGAAGAACAAAGGAAGGTCCAGCAGCTCATGACCAAAGAGAAGAGAAGACCAGGTGAGGGGTGGAGTCCACTGGATAATAGAGAACTTAGGAGTTTGAGGGCCAGATAATAAGAATTCTGTTTTTAGATTTTAAATGAAATCAGACAGAATAACCCAAAGAATGGAGTGGTAATTGATAATAAGTTTCACCTGGAAACAAGTTATTGAGTAAACACAGAGAATGCAAGAATTAAACATGATTTCTTTTACTATTTCAAAGTCAATCAATAAGACTTTATTGAGCATCTTCAGTATACTCACTGTTGATGAGGAATATAAAAAGAAGTGGGAATATATAGTTTCTTCCCTCTAAAAACTTACAGTTTAGCTCAGCCAGTATGGCTTAGTGGTTGAGCATCGACCCATGCATCCAAAAGTCCCTGGTTTCAATTTTGGGTCAGGGCACATGCCTGGGTTGTGGGCTTGATCCCCAGTAGGGGGGCATTCAGAAGGCGGCCGATCAGTGTTTGTCTCTCATTGATGTTTCTATCTCTCTTTCCCTCTCCCTTCCTCTCTCGCTAAAAATCAATAAAAACATTAAAAAACAAAAACTTACAGTTTATGTGGGAAGGCAAAACTAATAAAGGGAACATTTGTTAAGCAAATGGAAGATATTGCTAATTATGAAATGTATTCTCCATTAAGATTATTGAAATTCGGAGAAGAAGAGAGAGAGGTAATGGGAAGAAATTTTTATTTGAGGAAGGGGGCTCTTGAACTGGTTCTTGATGGATGGTAGATATTTGGAAGGGAAGGAAGAATTTTAGTTAAGAAATTAAAATAAACATGTATTATAAAGAGAGAGGAAACCTGATTGGGGGAAAACTGTTCAGAACAAATGAAAAAAAAAAGTTTGTCTGGCAGTGTAGAGCTAGATTAAGAAATTTTTAGTTGATTTGATAGATATGAGCCATTCATTGTAAGCTTTTGAGCAAAGGAGTAATATCATGTGGGAGGTATGTAGATAAAATAAGTCTGTTGCTTTTCACGTGATGAATCAGATGGGTACACCAAAATCTGAAATCTTGCTGTTGCTGAAATCCTATGTGGAAGGAATTGAGAGCTAGTAGCAATAGTAATAAAAAGGAAGAAATAGGAAAATAAATGAAAGATGAAATAAAAGGAAAATAGAAAGTCCATGGACTAAGTTTAGGAACATTGGAAGAGGAAATCTTTTTCAGAGGGAAATGATGATCATATTTCTTTTAAGCTTGCTTATTGTGAGATGACAATAGGGCATCCAAATGGGAATGCTGTGCAGTGAGGTGAGCAGGCCAGTGGCTGGGTCACAGAGTACAGTGGTTGAGAGCATAGACCACTGGAGCCAAACTAGGTTTGAATTTCAACTGTCCAACATCCTAGCTGTATGACCTTGCATAAGTCACTTAATCTGTAAAATGGGTCTAATCTTAGTACTGAGGAATTTGTGTGAGGTTAAAATGAGGTAGTATATGTAACATGCTCAGCGTAACAACCGGCACATGGTAAATACTCAATAACCTTTATCTGTTATTTATCACAGACACAGTAGATCTCATACTGAAGTCATGAGAGATGAATACTCCAGGGACGAAAGGGTGCTTATAAGTTTCCTGGGATACCACACTTATCCTAGTGTCTAATACAGTGCTTTTCAGGTAGTGACTTTTTTTTTTATCCTCACCCAAGGACATTTTTCCATTTTTTGTTCAGATAGAATGGGAAGGGGAGAGGGAAAGGAAAAAAACCATCAACATGAAAGGGACATATCGAGTGGTTGCCACCCGCACGACCCAACCAGGGCCAGGGACAAACTGCAACCGAGGTACGTGCCCTTAACGGGAACCGAACCCGGGTCTCTCTGGACCGCAGGCCGATGCTCTAACCTCTGAGCCAAACCAGCCAGGGCTTCAGGTAGTGACTTTTATTTATTATCAGAAGAGATGGAGAGGGAAAAGATGAAAGCCTAATCCATGGAAGGTGTCCATAGTTGACTAAAGGAAGGAAAAAACTCTTAGAAAAGTGACAGATAAACAAGTGGAGAGGATAGAGTGTATACTAGGGGATATTAGTGTCATAGAAAGAAGGAAGAAACAAATCTGCTCATGATCAGTAATATTAGATAGCACAGAGAAAATCAAGAAGTATATGAGGATCAGTAATGTTTTTTTAAATTCATTCTTTATTTTTTTCCTTTATTGATTTTAGAGAGAGAGGAAGTGAAAGGGAGAGAGAGATAGGAACATCATTGAGAGAGAACATAGATTGGCCGCCTCCCACATGCCTTCCACTGGGAATCAGGTCCACAACCTGGGCATGTACCCTGACTGGGAATAGAACTGGTGACCTCTTGGTACATGGGTCTATGCTCAGCCACTGAGCCATACCAGCCAGACAGAAATGTTTTTGAATAGAGAGTTGTATGGTCTTTTATTCATTTATTCATTCAACAAATATTTATTGAGTGCCTTTCACTTAACAGGTGAGAGAAAGTCACTTCCCTCTTGCAGTTTACTTCATACTGGGGGGATAAGAAAAACAATAAAAACTTAAGTACAAATACTTGTTAGATAAATTTGTTGTATAGGAAAAATTAAGCACAGAGAGAGGGAGTGGGGAGTGTAAGGCTTTGTGGGTAGAGGTTGCAATTTTAAATAGGGAAGTTGGAGAACCTATTAAAGTTGGTATTATTTGAGCAAAGACTTCAAGCAAGTTAAGTCATGTACGTATATGGGGAAAGAAGGTTTTAGGCCAAGGGGAATATAGGAAGCACAAAGGGACAGCAAGGTGGCCAATGTGGCTGGTTCAAATGGCATAAGGGGTAGAGTGGCAGAAGATAGGGTCTGAGAGGCAGAGGGCCAGAATAGAGTTTGTAGGCCATTTCTTCAGACCATAGGCCAACGCTCTAACCGCTGAGCCAAACCATCCAGGGTTGTAGGCCATTTCTAAGGAATCTTTTCTCTGAGTGAATTGGAGAGATAGCAGAAGTGTTTTGAGTGAAGTACCACAGGACCTGAGTTGTACTTTACAAGGGTCACACTGACTTCTGTAATGAGAACAGACATGGAAGCAGAGAAGCCATTAAAGAGATTTTGTACTAACTGAGGAAATGTTTCTGGCTTAAACCAAATTGGTAGTGTTGGTAGTGGTTAGAAGGTGCTAGGTGCTGAATATATTGTAATAGTTAAATTGGAAAGATTTGCTGACACATGTATTTGAAGTGTGAGGGAAAGAGGAGTCAAGGTTTTCTGCCTGAGAAGCTGAAAAGTTGGAGAAGCAGGTTTTGGGAAATGATTGAAGTATATTGTTATTTAGTGAAATAAACTTTGGAATAAATAATTTTCATCTGATTTCTCCTGAAGTGTTCTAATCATGAACTCTGTAAACACAATCATTAATGCTGTAAAAAACTAGCTTTTCGCCTGGCCAGTGTGGCTCAGTGGTTGAGTGTCGACCCATGCACCAACAGGTCACCAGTTCTATTTCCCCAGTAGGGGGCATGCAGGAGGCAGCCAGTCAATGTTCTCTCTCATTAATGTCTTTATCTCTCTCCCTCTCCCTTCCTCTCTAAAATCGATAAAGAAAAGTTATTTTTAATAAAACTAGCTTTGGCTCTCCCTTGGCTAGCACTTAGTCTTTATTCATTTGTATCATTTGATTTTTTTTTTTTTAATTGTTGAAAGTATTACAGATGTCCCCCTCCCCATTGACCCCCTCCTTCCTACTTCCACCCCCCTATATCAGTTGATTTCAAGGTCATTAATGTTTCATGGGAGACCCAATATAAGCAGAGGGCTGCTGCTTGATATTGTCATTTTGTGGCTGTTACAGAGACTATCAGCAATGCTTTAAATATTTCTTTTGTCTTTTTCTTTGGTTTTGATTGGAGCTGCTGAGTTGACACTATTGCTCACTCTTTCACTATCAAACTGACTTAAAACAGATGAGAGACTGGCTCACTCTGTTCTCCTGGCAGGTGTCCAGAGAGTGGACGAAGGTGGATGGAACACTGTACAAGGTGCCAAGAACAGTAGAGTACTGGACCCCTCAAAATTCCTGAAAATCACTAAGGTGAGTGTTAAATTTAAAAGATAACAGCTTCAAAACATAACTCTCAAAATTCATTTTTGTTCATATAAAATAGCCTTAATGTAGATTTTATGGGGTAGTTTTTTTTTCTCTACAAGTCAGTATTGATCAGCACTTTTTTTTTTTTTTTTATCCTCACCCGAGAACATTTTTTCATATTTTGTTCAGATAGAGTGGGAGGGAGGGAGAGAGAGAGAAAGAAACATCAACGTGAAAGGGACACATCGAGTGATTGCCACCCGCATGACCCAGCCAGGGCCAGGGACAAACTGCAACTGAGGTACATGCCCTTAGCGGGAACCGAACCCAGGTCTCTCTGGACCACAGGCCGACGCTTTAACCGCTGAGCCAAACCAGCCAGGGCTTGATCACTATTCTTTTTTTCTTTTTTTGTACAGATAGAGTGGAAGGGGGAGAGAGAGAGAAACATCGACGTGAAGGGACACATCGAGTGGCTGCCACCCGCACGACCAACCAGGGCCGGGGACAAACTGCAACCGAAGTATGTGCCCTTAGCGGGAACTGAACCCTGGTCTCTCCGGACCGCAGGCCAATGCTCTAACCGCTGAGCCAAACTGGCCAGGGCTTGATCACTATTCTTAATACTTGTCCTAGCATTAGTCCTTTTTATTTCTGTGAGGGTTTACTAAAGAGGAAGTGACTAGGTTAATTCTAAAAGCTATGAGATGCTTAATGTAAGAGAAATGATAACAAAGATACTTCAGAAGTCATAGTCAATTGCTAACTTTTATACAGTGTATCCTTAGCTCTGGGGAAGAAACAGCTACCTGTTTAAGTCTAACCGTGAAAGGAATTAATGGTTTGTTATGTCCCAGTTGTAAAAGAATAGTCCTGGCTGATTTGGCTCAGTGTTTACAGCATCATCCCTCGGACCCAGGGGTCTTAGGTTCAATTCCCGGTCAGAGGCCATACCGGGGTTGCATATTCAATCCCCAGCCCTAATCAGAGTCATGGAGGAGGCTACCAATTGTTTTGTCTCTTTCTCTCCCTCCCCTCCCCTCTCCTCCCCTCCCTTCCACTTTATCTTAAAAATCAGTGGAGCCCTGGGCAGTTTTGCTCCGTGGTTAGAGTGTCAGCCTGCAGACCAAAGAGTCTCAGGTTGACTTCTGGTCAAGGGCATGTACCTCAGTTGCGGTTTGTCCCCAGCCCTGGTCGGGGTCCTACAGGAGACAACCAATCAATGTGTCCCTCTCACGTTGATATTTCTCTCACTGCCCCCCGCCCCCCCCCCCCCCCCCCCCCGGCTCCCCCGCTCTATCTGAAGATAAAATAGAAAAATATCCTCGGGTAAGGATTAAAAAAAAGAAAAGCAATAACAGAGGACCTACTAGAAATCATTCTGTGATAAATATTTAATATACTCCATTTAATTTCTTCTCTCTCTCGAATCCCTCAGTAGTAAGAGGAAAGAATTTTCTCCTAGCAGATGTTTTCAGCAAAAGTTGATCACTATAAATAGGGTGAAGAATGTAGAGAAAGTAGAATTACGTTTTGTAAAAGTGGAAACTTCTATAGCCCACTGGGTTTGGCAAATTATTTGCAAGTCTAGTTTGAGCCTTGATTTAATACACTTACCCTAGTTCTGAAAATTGGCACTGCAGTAGGGTACTAAAGACAATCTAAAGCTAATGTGAAAACGTCAAATGAAAGAAGATAATTGACAAGAAAACAGACTTTGATAAAACTGAAAGAAGATGGAATATGTCTTTGCATCTTTATGGTTTTGTCAAAGCATTGTTTCAGGATAGAACATTACCTCTTAAAATCTCTCTTGCTGTTAATTAGCTAGAATCCTGTTCTTAAAGACTCTGGTATATTCTTCTAGTTGTTTATGTCTCAGAGCAGAAATTCCTTTGCTGAATACAACTTGATTCCCATCCACTATAATTTCCAGCAAGAGAAGGTTTTAACCAAGATCTTATGTTTAAAGAATTTCTTCATCAGCCCCAGTATCTTTGAAATTTTTATCAGTATTTAATGCTAATATTTGTGTTTTTAAATACTGTTTCTGTGACTGGACACTATAAAAAAGAATAGTGCTGGCCTGGCCAATTTGGCTCAGCAGGTAGAACATTAGGCCACAGACCGAAGAATCATGGGTTAAATACATCAAGTTAGCAGTCAAGGGCACTTACCTTGGTTGCAGGTTTGATCCCTGGCCCTGGTGAGAGTCATGTAGGAAGCAACCAATCAATGTGTCTCACATTGATGTTTCACTCTATCTAAAAAAATCAATGGAAGAATATCCTCAGGTGAAGATTAAAAAAGATAGGATGAATAGTGCTGGTATTAAATTTACAACATTATTTCCTTAATATATTGAAAAATATGTAAATTATTTTTAATTGATGTTGTATATATTCAGATCATCATAATACTTTACATAAGTATCCTAGAAAAAGTCCAAAACCATTAAATGAATTTATTGTTACTGGGAGAGATTTATGTGAGAGCATGTCTTATAGCAAGACAATACTGTCAGAAGATAGTGATACCGTTGTTATAAAGAGCTGCATTACAAACTTTGTGTTGATGTTTTATGTTACGTTGTAATTCTATTCACTTGCACTAAAAATGTGCAATGAGGGTTAAACCTGAAAGTTAGCAGGGACCTTAATTCCCTATCTAACATTCTATTGTTTTTTTTTTCCCCCTTTATTGAATACTCACATTCTACCTCTCCATCCTTAGCCCCAGGCTATATTATGGGCTTTGCTAAAATGTGAAGTCTTTCTGCCTTTTGACTTGTTTTCTTAACAGTCATATGAAGAGATTAATAAGTTAATTTTGTAATCTTTCTGTGTTCGTTCTTTATTTTTTAAATCATTGGGTATTATTATATAAGAGGAACCATTAGAAACTACTTACATTTAGCAAATTGGCACACCATCTTAGAGGACTTGAATGCATTCTCCAGACCCACCAGTGGGATCAGATTGTTCTGTGGAAGCTGGGTTCTAAGAGAGTGCTTCAGGGGCCACAGGAATCCCACTTTGACAGGAATGGCTCCAATTTATGTCTCTTAAATTGGCATTCCAAGCAAAATGTTGATGCTAAAATTGGTTTTACTGCCCTGAAAATAAAAAGGAAAACGATACTAGAATATTTCCCAGAATTGACTCTTGTCACTTATGTTACAGCCCACAATCGATGAGAAAATTCAGCTGGTACCCAAAGCACAGCTCGGCAGCTGGGGAAAAGGCAGCAGTGGTGGCGCCAAGGCAAGCGAGACTGGTAAGCAGGAGAGTCCCTTCACCTGGCCGTGGTCCTTTAGCATCTGCCAGTCGAAACGTTCCAACAGCCATTTAGTAATGATTTAGGAAAGGGCCTGTAGACTAGTGGCGCCCAAACTTACTGGTGGCCCTTTCTGACTGACATTATTATTTTCTCCTCAGTAGTGATCCTTAGGTTTTTTTGTTTGTTTTGTTTTAATTAATTTATTTTTTGTTAATAGGTTGTTTTAAGACTTTGCTCTCTTAGGTTCCTTTGTTGTTGTTGTTGTTGATAAATTCAATATGATTACAGGTATTACTGAGACACCAAATTAAAAGACAAACTCCCCCTGGTCGGTTTGGCTCAATGGTCTGGTTGTCGGCCTGAGGACTAAAGGATCTCAGTAAATTCCCGGTCAGGAGCACATACCTGGGTTTCAGGTTCCATCCCTGACCCCAGTTGGGTTAGTGCAGGAGGCCAGCAATCAATGTGTCTCTCTCTCTCTCCCTCCTCCCACTGTATCTATAAATTCAATGGAAAAATATCCTTGGGTGAGGATTTAAAAATTAATAATAATAAAACAAAATATTGGGGGGGGGCAAATTCATTTTGCTGAGAAAAAGAATGTTAATAACTAGAACATTTAACTTCAGGGTATTGTAAAAAGAATTAAATTGAAATAATTTTCAAAATCTTTTTTTTTTTTAATCCTTACCTGAGGAGATTTTTTCATTTTTTGTTCAGATAGAGTGGGAGGGAGAGAGGAAGAGAGAGAGAGAGAAACATCGACATGAAAGGTAGACATTGAGTGACTGCTACCTGCATGACCCAACCAGGGCCGGGGACAAACTGCAACTGAGATACACGCCCCCGACAGGAACCGAACCTGGGTCTCTCTGAACAACAGGCCGAAGCTCTAACCGCTGAGCCAAACCGACCAGGGATAATTTTCAAAATCTTTTATCAAAAGTCATATTTTTAAGATTTGACCTTAGGACTGCAATGTTCGGACCATCACAAACACATCTTAAGAGTTGAAGAAGCCCTATGGAAAGAATAATCACTTCATTGTTAACTTTCTTTCCATCTTTTTTTCCTACTAAGTAATTTTGACCCTTTTTCTTTAAATTAAAAAAAAATTATTAATTTAAATCTACATGCATAATTTTATATAAGTTAAATCATAACATTTATATTAGTTACCTTTTTTAAGTGAAATGCTGTTTATCCTTAAGCAACTTGGAGATTAGGGGTATCCCACCCCCACCGTCACCTCGTGCAGTCAAAAATCCATGTATAACTTTTGACTCCCCAAAACATAAATTTTGCCTTGGTATCCTCGGGGGATTGATTTTAGGCCCCCCTGCAGATACTAAAGTCCCAGATGATCAAGTTTTTTGTATGAAATGTGCAAGGTCAATGCATACAGTTGTCCCTTCGCATCCATAGACTCCCAACCGTGGATCCAAAGCAGAATAGGCATTTATTTTAAAATTCAAACAATTCAAATTTGTGTTCCACGGTCCTGTATTTTGTTTTGTTTTTGCTTGCCTCCATCCTTTTCCTGTTTATCACTCCCACCTCTATGACATACCTAGGATAATTTGATTATGTTTTTAAAGGATCAAGAGCAAATTGTTGTAATTAGTGAAGATTTCTAATTTTTTTCATACAAATTCTAACACCCTGCTTCTCAGAATATGATCTTTAGACCAGGAGATTGGCATCACCTTGTTAGGCTTGTTAGAAATGCCTAGTCTCAGGCCCTACCCTAGGGAGGCAGATGAATCAGACGCTGCATTTTAGTCATGTGTTTTGTGTTTTTTTCTCAATCCTCAATACCCATAGATGCCTTACGGTCAAGTGCTTCCAGTTTAAACAGATTCTCTGCTTTACAACCTCCAGCACCCTCAGGGTCTACATCATCTACACCTTTAGAGTTTGATTCCCGACGGACCCTAACCAGGTAAGGAGACTGCTATCCATGCTCATTCAAGACTCTCCTACTTGTCACTATGTCTGTCTGTTTGTCTGTCTCTCTCACACACACACATGTGCCCACATAAATTATGATGATAATTCCTATGGATGGATTTCTATCATCCTTAAAGTTGATTTCCTTTTTCTTTTTCTCCTTTAACCTTTACATTCTATAATTTCCAAGATAAGAACAAAATTGAGTGATAGGTTTGGGATGAAATGGAAAGGAAGGGTAAGTTAATCTGGCAAATATCTAATGGTTTGCTCCTTAAGAAAGCCAGGCTGACTCAAAAAGTTCTAGAGGCTGTATAGGGCTCTCCAAGCTAATGCCTCTGGATGCTCTGGATTATTTAGCAATCTCACACGTGGGGATTAAAGGGTATGCCAGCCCACCCACCACACCTTGCTGTCACTGTTCTTCAAGTTATATTTGAGTTGTCTTTTTTTTCCCACTACTCTGTTATTCTATCTTCCAACTTTTGTTATTGTAGGAGTCATACAGTCAAGAGTTCTATAAACTAGTCTACCAGGAAGTGGATGAAGACCTGTAGTATAGTGACAGAGAAAAAAAAAAAATTTTTTTTGAATCTTCATTCAAGGATGTGTGTGTGTGTGTGTGTGTGTGTGTGTGTGTGTGTGTGTGTGTGTGTTTTAATATGTGTGTTTTATTTATTGATTTTAGAGAGAGGAAGGGAGGAGGAAAGAAAGATAAAACATTGATGAGTGAGAAACATTTATTAGCTGCTGCTTGCATGCCCCCTCCTGGGGATTGAGCCCGCAACCTAGGCATGTGCCCTGACTAGGAATTGAACTGGCAACCTCCTGGTACATGAGAGGATGCTGAGCCAACTCTGCCACACCAGCCGGGCTCAAGGATATGTTTTCAGTGATTTTTACAGAGAGAGAGAAAGGGGGGGAGAGAGTAAGAAATGTGCATGTAAGAGAAACATCGATTGTTTGCCTCCTGTACATGTCCTGACCAGGGATCGAACCTACAAATTAGGTATGTGCCCTGGTGGGAGTCTCACCTGCTATCTTGTGGTGTGTACTGGACAACACTCCAACCGAGTCATGTGGCTGAGCGAGAACAAAATTTTTGATAGAAGCACTTTTAGAGCTGAAGTTTCTTTATAGTCTCAAACTTTTGTTTTTTACTAATGTAATGTTTGACTAGGTAGACTTTATAAACTACGTTACTATTCCCTTGACATCTGAAACAAAATATACTTTGTACATGTCAACTGTTTAATTGTGACTTGGATTGTCATTGAACACTAGTTGTGCTGTTGAGGTCTTTGTGGCTCTTTGCTCTGCCATAAATTTCCCCTGATGGCTCTGCTTTTAGAGTGTGTTTTGTTTTTTTTTTTACAGTGGTTAGATTGTTGTCATACCTCTACCTCTTCCCTCTTCTTTCCCTTTTAATTGATTTGCTGCTTCTCTGGTCTGCCATGAGTAAGGAACTGTTTAACCAGATGGTTAGAATTATCTAAATGAATAAACTATGTGACATTGGTTATCCAAAAATTACTTCTACTGCTTGGTTCTTAAATATTTTCCATATAGTTGTCTGGATAAATAAAGTATAATTTCTAAGATAGTGATACCATCTTCTTTTGTTATTCTGTTTCCCTTTCACTCATTTAATTCATATATTCACCACTGTCTTCTTTATTCTTAAAAGATTTTTTAAAAGTAAAACAAGGGATTGCCATTGTCATTTTAAATTTTTGAGTAGTGCCCTGGCTGGTTTGGCTCAGCGGTTAGAGCGTTGGCCTGCGGTCCAGAGAGACCCTGTTTCGGTTCCCGCTAAGGGCATGTACCTCGGTTGCAGTTTGTCCCTGGCCCTGGTTGGTCGTGCTGGTGGCAGCTACTTGATGTGTCCCTTTCACATTGATGTTTCTCTCTCTCTCTCTTCCTCTCTCTCCTTCCCACTCTATCTCAACAAAAAATGGAAAAATGTCCTCAGGTGAGGATAAAAAAGAAATTTAAGCAGTATCCCTTTAACATTTAAGAGAAAAGTTAAAGCTATCTTAATAGTCTCTTTAAAGCACTGATTTTATGTGTTTTTATAATTAATTACATTTTGAAGTACAATTGGTGCTTCACATATCTCAAGTTTTCTCAAAAATTATTGTGCATACTTTAGAAAGTCTTAGTGTTACTTTATAATTTTAAATACACAGGAGACGGGGTCTTTATTTTGAAAAGTGTTGTTTTGTCTTTTAAGTCGTGGAAGCATGGGCAGGGAGAAGAATGACAAGCCCCTTCCATCTGCAACAGCTCGTCCGAACACTTTCATGAGGGGCAGCAGCAGTAAAGACCTGTTAGACAATCAGTCTCAAGAAGAGCAGCGGAGAGAGATGCTAGAGACCGTGAAGCAGCTTACAGGAGGCATGGACGTGGAAAGGAACACCACTGAGGCTGACCGAAACAAAGCAAGGGATTCTGGTGAGAGACTTTATATGAACAAATACAGGTGAAGGTTTGGCCTTCAATTTGGAAAGAAAAATAGAAAGGAGACTCTATGCCTGAGTAGATTTCATGGTGACACACACACCTGTGCCTTAAAAGTTCATAGTTTTATAATATAGTTCTCACTCCCCAAGTATCCTTTTGTTCAGTAATTTGTAAATTTTCCCCTTTCTCTATTAAATGTGATGATTTTGAGGTCTTCTTACTGTGTGGCAAGCAATGTGAATATCTTACATGTTTCCTAAATAACGCTCCACTGTGCATTAGAGTGCTTATGCTTTGTATGGAAACTCTGACATTGAGCCACTGCGAGGGGAACCAGAGAAAGTGTCAGATTGACTTTTGTTACCTTTCTCTTCCTTGGTAATGTGTGTGGGTTTTGTACATGTTTAGCTTGTGTATGCTTAGAGGAACAACTCAGATAATGCTCTAAAAATTGCCATATGTTTAACCTATCAGTATTTCAGTTTCCTCATTTGCTACATGGGGATAACAAGTGTAGGGTTATGATGAAGATTAAATGAGAACTCAATACAAGTAACTACTTAGAATATTATCTGATAAATACAAGGTTTTCAAAAAGTACTAAGGGTCATAATGACGACGATAATATCAGTGATGAAAAATAGTTTAAAGATAATTTTGGCATCTTTTAACTCTTCATCCTGAAGTAGTACTGGTTGTTTATAACATTTTTATAACTTTCATATTTGTTTTACTCTTTAAATTGTGTCTTCTAACTCTAATCTCTAAATGGATTTCTAAAGCAAGTCTCCCAACTGATTAGAAACCTCAGATCTTTCAGCTTTAAGGACATGTACTTGTTTTATCTGTGCTATGTGTTTTGGGAACATAATAAAATAGGGCATGAAAATAACATGTAGTGAATAATGTAGCACAGCCGCCTTTTGCATGTTTATTGTCTCAGTCATTTGTTCATTCACCACGTGCACACCGAGCAACTGGTGACTGTCACTCACTCCCTGCTTTCAGCCTTCAGCCTGCTGGCTCAGGAAGACCTTTATCAAATAAGTCCACAAAATATGACCTATAACTACACACTGAGAGAAATGCTATGAAGGAAAGGAACACAGTTATAAGGGAGTACTTAAAAGAGGAACTATGTAGAATTGACAGAGGAGTATCGGGGAAGGCTCCCCTGAGGCCTGAAGGACCAAGAGGAGTTAAAACAGGCTTGTAGGGAGGGACATGTATGGGACAGAGAGAAAGAGCATTCCTGGCAGGGGGAGTATTTGAGCAAAGTGGTAATAGGGGAGACCATGTCATGTTTGAGCAGTTGCCAAAGGCTCATGTAGCTAGAGCTCTGTGTACGATTGTGCAGGCCTCGTGTGCTTTTCATCATTGACGCAATGGAGAGGAATCAAAATACAGAGAGTAACAAAAACACTTTAATTATAAAAGTTACCATATCCCTGTAAACCTTTTAATTATTGTGGATCATGAAGTTCCTTAGTCTGTATCTATTCTAAAATAAATGTTTCTGTATTCTGCTTTTAGGTATCTTACTTTGTCAAATTTGTATCTATTTTCAGTGCCTTTTCTGAAAAAAAGCAATGTAACCACATGTAAACATTATCGACCGTGATCTGACCATTTTAATAATTTTTGTCATTTTTTTACTTTCTCACTCTTTTTAAACCTCACTAGTCACAAAACCAGAAATTCCAACATCAGCCCCTGAAAAGCCTTCACTGTCAGACGAGGAAATGGAGAGGAAGTCCAAATCTATCATTGATGAATTTCTACACATTAATGATTTTAAGGTAAATGATTTTTTTTTAAAAGAAAGCAACAGCAACAGAGAAAGCCCTATGATAGACATAGTAACTTGGTTCTGGTCTGAATCACTTATCACTACACACGGACAGGACTTAGAGTGTGTGACCCAAGTCCTACACAGTTCAGTTTGCACAACCCTGATACGTTTTTGTCAAGTACTGTCTTTTACATTGATACTATAATAGTTTACAAAATCAAGTGGCAGGAAGACAGAATGGGTACCAATCCATTGCCACTATGGGGTAACCAAATTGTCTTTGATATTAATGAACAAAACAACATATTATCATTATGAGGCATCTCTGGCTCCCTGTATATTGCCTCTTATGATTTATAGTCAGTTTGTCATTCTTATATTAACTTTACAGTATGGCTGACATTACTTTTTCTTTATTTTATAAGTAAAAAACTGAGACACAAAGGAGCAAGCACTGTGTCAGGTCATATATCCTAAGTGAAACATTTTAAGACATAGCTTTATATTTGCCCTTCTGATCGATTTTGACCTTCTCTTTGATCTTCACTTTAAGATGGTAGTGAATAAGATAGATATACTACTGCCTGACTTCATGGGCAGAGACAGACCATAAACAAGTAACTTCACAAATACATATTTAAATTGTATTTATAATAAATGCTGCCCGGCTGGTGTGGCTCAGTGGTTGAGCGTCAACCCACGCACCAAGAGGTCGCCAATTCTATTCCCAGTCAGGGCACATTCTCAGGTTGTGGGCCCAATCCCCAGTGGGGGACATGCAGCAGGCGGCCAATCGATGTTCTCACTATTCAATGTTTCTCTCTCTCCCTCTCCCTTCTTCTCTTTCTAAAGTCAATAAAGAAAAAAAATTTTTTTTAATTAAATAAATGCTAGTAGACCTATTTAGGGCCTTAGGAGACATCATATAATAAGACCTAATTTAGGGATCTGGAGTAAGCAAAGTCTTGTAAAAAATATTTATCAGATATAAAAAAAAAAAATTTGTCAGATGTATTAAGAACGTTTGCTTTGGCATATATGATTAAAAATTATCTTGACAACCTAGTTATTATTTGCTTTCCATACAAAAAATCAGTTTGGCTAACTATAGCCCAGTCTTCTTAAAATCTCAAGTCCTTAAATTGTCTAAAATTCAGAAGAAATAGGAAGAAGTTTTGATGACAAGAATGTTGGAGAGGAAGACTCTAGAGAAGCCCTTGAAAACCAGCAAAAATAAATAAATGAACATTAACAGAAAATAGCCAAAGCATATACTTCATATACTGTGATTTGTTATTTAAATTCTTAGAAAGGAGAACTATTCTTATAAACTGGTAGCACAGCTTTTTTCTTGCATGGAAGTAGAGAAATACAAAAGACTTAAAAGAAAGACTAAGAAAGATGAAGAGCAGAGACAACAAGGAAGAAAGCAGTGGAGATTGACTTTAGAAATAATTTGAGGAATGTACAAAGTTACTGAGCAGCAAATACTTTGAAAGAGGAAATATATGACTCTGTGATGAGCAAGAGAAATAGGGAGAAAAAGACCTTAGTAACACCTAAGTACAACAAGAGGACCCTTGGATACATCATCAACCCTAGGCCAGGCCTGCAGTTTGTAAGGGATAGTCAGGTATGACTCAGGAATTTCATTTTGTAATGTACAAGACTGCTCTGCTGCAGAGGGGCACTAAGAACCAGGTAATAGTGTCGGGCATAGTGAGGTCTTACTTTGTGCTAGGTGCTGTTCTACACATTTTATATGTATTTATTTAATTTCCATAATATTTTCTGGTGTTGACATTATTATAATCGCCATTTTTATAGATAAGAAAACTGAGGTAAAATAACTTGCACTAAGTTGTATTGCTGATAAGTGGCAGACTCAGTAGTCAAAGCCAGGCTGCTGGCTTTAGAGCATAAACTGTACTTTATTCTATTACCTTTAGAGTATTAGTGTGTCACACTAAAGGCATACAGAGCTTATCCTAAGGAAGAGTTTTTTCCTAACATCTTAATAAATGCTATTATTATTAACAGTAATAAAAATTAATATTTACTGCTTTTGTTTTGTGCTTAGCAATGTGTTAGGTATTTTTATATACATTTTATATTCAATTCTCACAGTAATCCTATAATAGGAAGTCAAGACTGGGAGATTAAATTATACTCCTCAACTCACACAGTGGTGACAGAGCCAGGATTCAGACCTACATTTAAATGTCTGACTCCACAGCCTGTGTTTTTAGCCTCTGTGATATATCTTTCTTGAGGACCTGAAACGTGCTGAGCACATTTGAGGGAATACTGCCTGGATATACTGTAGTATTTGTAGTGAGCAACCTGGTCTGTTTTTATGGGTCTTTTAGTGGGTAATACAGACAAAGCTACCCTAAATATAGGTACCCTAATAAGTAAACAACTGCAAAAAAATAATTTTTTAATGCAGGGAAGTAAAATTAGGTGATATGAGAAGCTGTGGTTAGGTAGTCACAGAGACTGTAGGAGGTGTCATTTCAACTGAGAGTTCAAAAACAAGAAAAATCAAATCATGAGAAAGTCCAGGAGAAGGGCAGGATTATGAACTGTTATGACATTAGAAGTATTGTGACATAGTTAGTTGACCCTACAGATTCAGTGAATAAATTCCCATTGGAAGACACTTACTTAGTCACTTTAAGTTAAATGCTGAAGATTAAATGTTTGCATTCCTTTCCACTTTCTCCTGAAAAGGCATTACAGTGATGATGGTGCTCTTAAAATGAAGCAAAACTCCACAAGGATGAGATGCATAGGGAATAGATAGCAGCAACAGCCTGGAAGGTTAGAAATTAGAAGGATGATGGTGATTTATTTAACAGACTATGAATGTGCATGAGGGTGCAGCTGGAGCAGGAAACAAGGCTTGGTGGGTGAAAAGTGTAGATAAGAATGGCAGCTGGCCAGAAAGTTTAAGAAATGTCAGTCATAAAAAGACAAAAGAGAGCCCAGCTGGTGTGGCTCAGTGGATTGAGCGTCATCCCATCAACTGAGAGGTCCTTGTTCGATTCCCGGTTGGGACACATGACTGGGTTGCGGGCTTGATCACTGGCAGAGGGCATGCAGGAGGTAGCTGATCGATGTTTCTCTCTTGCATCAATGTTTCTATCTCTCTCTCCCTTCCTTTCTCTCTGAAAAAATCAATTAAAAAAAATTTTTTTTTAAAGAGAGAAAAAGGACTGCTCTAGATTAAAAGCATCTAAAGAGACATCATGACATGTGATATCGGGTTTTTAATTGGATCCTAGAACAACAAGAAGCTGTATTGGACATTTGGGAACAATTGTGGAAATTTGAATATGTAATATATATATATATATATATATATATATATCAGATAATATTTTTACTGACTTGTATAAATGTTAAGTTTCTTATATAGAAAGAAAAGTAACAGATGAATTTCAATTGAAGTGAAGATACCTACATGTACATTGTAGTATTTAATTTGTAGTTTGAAATTTTTCTAGATAAAAAGTTAACATGGTGAGGTACTAAGTAAAGTAGTAGAGGGACAATAAAGCAGCAGAGAGACACCTTGATGTGCCTTATACCTCCTTCAGTCAGGAGGCTGCCCTTCTCTCGTGCATCTTCCCCTAGGAAGAGCTACTGTCTTTAGAGGTGAAAACAAAGGGTTTTTGTACTCAGGGTTGAGATAGGTGAGGGCAGGGTGACACACTGCTATATGGGTGATCCAGTGACCCTGGCTGCCAGGCTTTTACCCTGCACACCAAATACATGGACCTAGCCAGATCAGCCCATGGTAGGAACCCCAAGAACTTCATAAAGGTTTTTAGTACTTAACTGTTTTAACAACTTTCCTATGAGAGAATACCTTTTTCATTGATGATTTTGCAAATGGTAATATAGCCAAACAAAATTATCTTAGTTGCCTTTTTAAGCAAGGCCTTTGAATCATGACATCGACTTTTTATTTTATAATATACCATTTTTAATTTTTTAAATCATCATAAAATAGGCAATTATGTAGAAAAATACATTTTTGTCTCTGGTCCTTTGAATGATCTATAATAAAATTGCTAACCTATACCCATTTGTTTTATAAAGACACACTTCTTTTGTTTTTAAATATGACTTGTAATGCCCTTTCAGCTGCATTTTACTAAGCTACATTAATGGTTTTAAAATTATAAGTGAAACTGTCTTGTTTGTCAACTTCACTGAGTTTGTCATAAGTAAAAGATTTTAAACTTATTTTAACACTCTGATAATGCTATCTAGATTCTGGGGTAAGCTTTTATTTGCTATTTGAACAGGAAGCCATGCAGTGTGTGGAGGAGCTGAGTGCCCAGGGCCCGCTACATGTGTTTGTGAGAATGGGAGTGGAGTCCACCCTGGAGCGGAGCCAGATCACCAGGGACCACATGGGCCACTTACTGTATCAACTGGTACAGTCAGAAAAACTCAGCAAACAGGACTTTTTCAAAGGGTCAGTATCCTCCTCAAGCGTGATATTCATTTACTAGGCTCTTGAGTAGTGGTTAATTTTAAAAGTACATATCTAACCCGGCCAATGTGGTTCAGTGGATTGAGTATCATCCCGTGGACTGGGAGGTCTGGATTCAATTCCTAGTCAGGGCACATGCTCGGGTTGCGAGCTTGATCCTCAGCAGGCAGCCAGCCGACTGATGTTGATGTCTCTTTTGCATCAATGTTTCTGTCTGTCTCTCCCTCTTCTTTCCTCTCTCTCTTAAAAAAAAAAAAATTAATAAAAATATACCCATTTGAAATTTTTAGCTTTTTCATAGATTAAATTGTGTTATATTGATAATATGTTGGTTTGGTGTGATGGCATTTGGGTTTGTTTGTTTTTTTTTAATCTCATTGTTGGATCTGTATTGTGACTTAAGTAAGATAGCAAAGAACCCTTAACTGTAGGGAAACTGAGGCCTCACCAGCCTATTCATTTGTAAAACCTTGGATAATTGTTGAGGAAAACACTTATCTTTGTGAAAAATATTCTTTGAAAAATTGACCTAAATAAACCATGATTAGTTTGGCCAGGAAATGCTTGTCTGTCTATGTCCACCCCATAGAAGGATATGTAACTCCAAGTTGTTAATGATTTAGTCTGCTCCAGGTTGGTTTCATTATGGTTCCTGTTGGTAGCTATTTTGATGAAGCCCTGTTGTCATTGGTAGTGTATCCTCATTTGCTCAGATTCTGATATCTGTGTAATACACCATTATCACAGGTGCATGGGTCAGGTTATTTGTGGTACAGCAACAGAATCTTACCCAGGCTTAGGTTTTCAAGTCAATGTTTAAGGCAAAAATTTCATATGGTAAAAAATGTTGTTTTAGGAGCTGTGTTGTACAATGTAAACATATAGTCACAGCCATTGGTGATAGGTGCGCACTCTCTAAGAGCAAAGGAACTGCAACCTCCTGAGGGCTGAATATCAGAGTCACATCTTCTTTCTCATATTCACCCAGGCTATATGCTTATTACATGGAATGGCAGTAAGAATTCTGCATTATTTATTTTTCTCCTTGTAAATCTTTTTTTTTTTATCCTCACCTGAGGACATTTTTCCATTTTTTTGTTCAGATAGAGAGGGAGGGAGAGAGAGAGAAACATTGATGTGAAAGGGACACATCAAGTGGTTGCCACCCACACAACCCAACCAGGGCCAGAGACAAACTGCAACCGAGGTATGTGCCCTTAGCGGGAACTGAACCCAGGTCTCTCTGGACCGCAGGCTGACGCTCTAACTGCTGAGCCAAACCAGCCAGGGCTCTCCTTGTAAATCTTTTTTGCAAGCTCATGTTGTATTATTGTACATTAAACACGCATGTGATGAAATGCCACTGTGTGTCTCTCTGATATGATCAGCCTTTTAGAATAGTGGGACCATTAAGTGCCAAGATTGAATGTACTTAGGAATAATTACTCATTTGATTTTGTGAGGAAAGATGACATTGTCCTCAAGGTTCTGGAAAATGTATATTTGCCCCTAGGATCATTGGAAAGTTGTCTTTCACTGGCTGGTATGGCTCAGTGGTTGAGCATTGACTCATGCACCAAGATGTCACCAGTTTGATTCCCGGTCAGGGCACATGCCCAGGTGTGAGCCAAATCCCCAGGAGGCAGCCAGTCAATGTTCTCTCTGACGATGTTTCTGTCTCTCCCTCTCCGTTCTTCTCTCTCTAGAATCAATAAAGAAAAAAAATTTTTTTAAAGTTGTCTTTCAGCAATAAGCTAGATTTCTCTGAATTCAGTGACTGGCTAGATTAAAGCCATCTGATCCAGTTAACTTAATAAGAAACTTTGGCAGAAGTTGCTTTGGTTGTTGGCCTTTAAAGCCAGGATGGTTTCCCAGTTTTAAAAGAGAAATATTTTGTTCACTGTAATAACCAGCCAGTATAAATAGTAAAAGCAATGGGGGGTATACACACCACACAAACAAATCGAGGTCTACCCCTAGCCAACTTGAAACTAATTTCAAGCCCCTAGAAACTACATTTACAATAACTATTATATTGGTTTATAAATAACTTGCTTTTTACCCAGACATTATGATATATTCACCAGAAAATTTTGGAATTCAGGATGCTGTATTATTTACCATTTTATGTCTCTCTTCAAACTGCCCTCAGAAATTGATTCATATTTGGAAAGACTTCCAGAAGTGTGGTCCAGCTCCATCAGCTTTACTTGAACTTATGAGGTGCTAGCTTGGTTTCTAGGCTGTCTCAGACATTTGCATTTCCCTTTGTTGGTTCCCTTGAGGAAGAAGTGTCATCCAGTCCTGGTGTCTACACTTTCATTGGTGATGCTGCTGCTGGCAGTACTGCCTTTTATTGAGACTGAAAATGAGATTAACACTTCTGTGTCTCAGTGACTACTTCATCTTTTTCTTTTTTTTTAATCCTCACCAAGGATATTTTTCCATTTATCTTCAGACAGAGTGGGAAGGAGAGAAAGAGAACGAGAAACATTGACAGTAAAGGGGCACATCGACTGACTGCCTCCACACGACCCTGACCAGTACCGGGGCAAACCGCTACCGAGGTACATGCCCTTGGCCGGAATCAAACCCATAACTCATTGGTCCGTGGGCCGACGCTCTACCACCAAGCCAAACTGGCCAGGGCTACTTCATCTTTTTCTATTTTTACTTCCTTCCACAGCTAGAGATAATGCAGTGACTCCAGGTCTAGCTTTTAATACTTAATTGGATTAGGTCCCCTACAAAGACCCCTATTCTTCCCTAAATGGGGAGGTCTGGCAATTTTTTCTAAGATGGAAAAAAACCAATAATTTCATGTCATTATCCACAAAGAAGCTTCTTGCAAATAGATCAGTTTTCCAGTTACTTCTAAAGTCCAAATTATAAACAGATCATACTCCTAGAGTGGCCAGTTCATTGGAGCCATGGAAATGCCCTAAGTCTTTAGTCTCTTTAGTACCAACATCTAAAGATTTCTGTTTTTACATAGCATTGTGGGGAGCATCTAAGGTTAGTGTCCTTGGATGCTACTACTGCCGTGATGCCAACTTTTGAGAAGTCATTGAAGCTGTTGCTGCCTAGCTTCCCAAGCCAGCTATTTATCCTGCAGTTCCTTTTAAGGCATGTAGTGCTACTAAATATTAAGTTAGATTAGACAGAAGTTTCAAATAGGTTCTTTGTGTCAGGTTGTTTATAAATAAAGCTTAGATCCTTTGGAGTTTTCCTTACAAGGTGCTATATCAACTCTGAGCGTAGCAGTTGCCATATATCAAACACATCACCACAAAGGCAGCATCAAGCCATCCTCTTAGGATTTTCAGGACTTGCCCTGGCTTTTTTGGCTCTGCTATTAAAGCTTCGGCCCTTGGACCAAAGAGTCTCGGGTTCAGTTCCGGTTAAGGGCACATACCTTGGTTGCAGTTCTGGTCCTGGCCCTGGTCGGGGTCGTGCGGGAGGCAACCAGTAGATGTGTCTCTCTCACATCAATGTTTCTCTCTTTCTTTCTCTCTCCTTCCCACTCTATCTGAGGATAAATAGAAAAATATCCTTGGGTAAGGATTAAAAATATAAAATAAAAGTGACTTCATTAAAAAAAAAATAATTTTCAGGACATGAATCTAAATGCTTTATGGCATAAATTAGGTAGATAGGTAGGTGCATTCCAAGCATTGTTGATGCAATCATTTTATATCATGGCTTTAGAAGATTTCTTATTTAAAAGTGTCTAGTAAAGGTAGTTGAGTGCTGTTCACTATTAGCCACAGACCTGGAAGCACTTTAAAAGTATAATAACAAATAAAATTCAGGATGGTAAAAATTGGAGTTGACAATAAACACAAAATATGTGATCTTCAGGAGGCTTGATATATGAATATTAAACTTTGAGAAAAGTTTGTTTTGAGAGGAATTCTTATCTCCTCCTTGACTACTTTTTTGGTACTTTTCTTGCCACAATGGCTGTTCTCCGTTGGTAAGAAGATATAGTTCAGAGCTTGCACAGACATGCATACTAAGGTGCAAGTGCAGAATTGCAGAGGTGCCAGTTGACAGTGAAGACCCTACTTACTCGCCTAGGTAGGATCTAGTTTTAATAGTCTTTGTTGTAGTAATCCTTTGAAGATGATACTGCAGTATAAGAAGGCTTCTCATCTTCTTTTATTTCTCCCTTTTACTGTCAATAATACTTGATCAATCTGAGTTTTAGGTGTCTTTGCTCTCTCTCTCTCATTTACCTACAGCCAAATTCCATTTGTATCTGGTTATCATGATGCACATTGTGGAAGAGCTGCTGACAGCACCATTTCCAACTGTATTAGATTATTTTGCCTTTTTAGCAGATTTCTGATCAAACCTTTGCTGCATTTTTTAAAATTCCAGCTTTTAACCATGTACTCCTTTGTTTAATTAAATCTTAGGCAGGAACCCAGTATACAAAGTAAATAAAAGTAGATCTTCTGTAGTTGAAATGGGAGGAAGAGGCCTGAAGCCCCACTTGTGGACCCTTTCCAAAGTGCAGTCCAGTGGGTGTGATAGTCACTACATACCAAGAAGCAAGGGTGTGGTGTAGCTTCGTTTCATGCATTCAGCCATCAGAAAATGTGTATTGTGCAGGGCATTGTTCTAGGCTGTGTAGTATAGTAGTCCAAAGACTACTGTGTGTATGTAGGAGCTGCTACACACCCAAGATTTTTCTTTTAAAAACTTTTTTTCTTTATTGATTTTAGAGAGAGAGGAAGGGAGAGGGAGAGAGAGATAGAAACATCGATGAGAGAGAACACTGATTGGCCACCTCCTGCATGACCCCCACTGGGTATTGGGCCCACAACCTGAGCATGTGCCCTGACTGGGAATCAAACCAGTGACTTCTTGGTGCATGAGTTGACGCTCAACTACTGAGCCACACCAGCCAGGCAGAATTTTCTTTTTAAATCATACAAAAGAATTTAGGAACTCTAAACTTGAAAAGATATTTCTCTCAACTGGTTTGTTTTATGGAAATCCTATGTTCAGCCAAATATCTTTGTTTTTATTAGCAGTATAGATTTGACCAGTGATTGTGTTCTGAAAACGGTCCCATGACTAATTGAGAAATAGAAAACCAAGGCGAGGATATGGGTATCTTTCAGTTGTAATATGAGATGAAAATAGCAGTAGTTATAGTGCTGAATGACCAAGATTGCTGCAGTTGTTGTCTCATGGGCTCATTAAACAGTTTAATCTATGCCACTAACCCATGGAATATGAATTGGAATTATATAGGGTGATTAACCCAGAAATCCTGGAGTCCATCCAGACTGTGGTCCATTAGTGGCACATTAACTGAGCTGAAAGTCTGCACATGATGGGAGAATAGTCAAGTATCTGTTGTATCACAAATAGATGTCAAATAATTGCAAACTGGAAGGTCCAGAAAGTTGGTATTAAAGATTTATGAAGCCCAGAGTTGGATAATGTAGTTAAGCTACAAACTGTTGTGAAATGGCACTTTCAGAGAGGTAACTCTGCCTAGTAGTGGTACCTTTTTGTTTAAATGAAAAATTTTAAAGACAGTTAGGCTTCTGAGGTAGGTAAAGAAGAGTGGCATACTGTGGCTTGAAACTAGAACTGCAGTGAAAAAGCCCACGATTTATGTACGCAGAGATCTGAAAGGACATGAAAACAAATACCACCTGCCCATGGCCTCTTCATTCTCCCCTTTTCTTATGATCATATGTATTTCCTTGTAAGTATGTGTATGTCTCCTATAGTTAAATTTACTTTTAATTTTGTACCTTTTAATATGCTTTATATGGAGCTAATTAACAAAGTCTCAAATTATATATTCATACTTCTAAACAAATAGCTATGCTGTTGAGCCTAAGTAAAATTGCACTGATATTTTCTATTTAACATTCATAGTATTATGTTCAAATCCCATTTATTACACTTGATATTAAGAAATATTTCTTAGCCCTGGCCAGTTTGGCTCAGCAGTTAGAGGGTCAGCCTGCGGTCCTGAGAGACCCGGGTTCGGTTCCCGCTAAGGGCACGTACCTCGGTTGCAGTTTGTCCCCGGCCCTGGTAGGTCGTGCGGGTGGCAGCCACTCGGTGTGTCCCTTTCACATCGATGTTTCTCTCTATATCTGTTCCTCTCTCTCCCTCCCACTCTACCTGAACAAAAAATGGAAAAATGTCCTCGGGTGAGGATAAAAAAAAAAAGAAATATTTCTTAGCATGAAAGCCTGAAACCATTAACTTTTCTTTAAAAATACAACAGTTGGTAGCATATCATAATGATGATGTCATTAGTAAAGTTGTTAGATTCTCATATCCATCCAGTTTTCTTCCCAGTGTAAGCTCCTCAAGGACAAGGATTCTTGCCTTTTCTTCTCTTTGTGTCTGGTCTGCACCACACTAAATTTTTACTTAGTGCTTTTAGCTGACTTGAAGGATATGGTACTCAATTGTAATGAACTCTTTATAGTGTGGGATTAAATTGATAGCTGTTTCCCCAGAGTTTCACATGGCTGCTTCATTTTCATCAGTTAAGTCTTTCAAATGTCACCTCTAGACTGACCACCGGATGTACTGGGATATCTTAGTAGCATAATTCATCTTCTTCAGCACATTAGCCCTATCTGCAAGTATGCTTTTGTTTGTGTTCTTCTCTCTTCCCCCACACTAATATAAGCTCTTTGAGAGCAAGAACCAGTTACTTTATGCCTAGAACAGTACCTAACATAGCAAGTGCTTAATAGGTACTTATTTACTGACTGATTTTTGGTCTCTTATCTAATCTTAATTTCTGAATTACGTGTGCATGTGAATTTTTTTTCTGTTCTCTTAGTTTTTCAGAAACATTGGAATTGGCAGATGATATGGCCATTGATATTCCTCATATTTGGTTGTACCTTGCTGAACTGGTGACTCCCATGTTAAAAGAAGGCGGAATCTCCGTGAGAGAACTTATCATGTATGTTGGTTTTGTTTCTTATGTATGTCAAATTAAACTGTTGCAGAACTCATGCAAAACTATGACCTTCTAGCATAATGCTGTGATCTTAATGTAGCGATTTTCAACCTTTTCCATCTCATGGCACACCAGACTCTAATGACTACAATTCTGCAGCACACCAAAAATTATGTTCTATTTTTTCCTGATCTGACAAAAAAAAAAAAAGGTATGATTTTGATTCATTCACACCAGATGGCTATTGTAGTGTAGTGTAGTCAATTTTTTTTATTATATAATCTAAGGGAAAAGAGGTCAGTACCCCTGACCAAATAGTCAGGTATTGCATGTTTTAAAAATTCTTGTGGCAGACCGATTGAAAATCACTGCCTTAGTGCCTTTGGAGGCTCTTGGGTGCAGCCTATGCCTCTTTAAAGACTTCTAATTTTAATATAAAAATGTTACATTATACTAGATCTTACTGCAGAAGTGATGGGCATATGATAGCCTTGTGGTCCGTTGAGGTTAGCAGTGATTATAAATTTTACTCCTTAATCCCCTAACTAACCAGAAGGCTATTGCTCCTGGAAACTTAATGTTAACCTGACTTTTATGTCTGTCATTGCTCTAATGTTGTAAGAAGTTATATTTCCACATAACAGCTTGTCAGACTGTGACACCTGCATAGTTAATGCTCAGGTTTAATAAAAGGAACTGAGGTCTCAGGCAGTCCTAAATTTGAACATGAGTGGGAAATTATTGCCACATTATATAGACTTGTATTTCCCCAGAAACTGTTCACTGTGTGTCCCTTTTCTTTGCAATTCATAAGTGTATTATAGCACATTCAAGATTATGAGAATCCTATAGTAAAACTAAGAAGAAAAAACTCTTCAGGTTTGTTTCATTTATTACCTCAATTAACTGTAGCATCTTTTTTAAGGAATGATTATTGATACCCTACAGAATACAGTTTGGGAAATACTGGTTTTGACTTTGGAAAAATTAGTCCCTTTCCGTTTCATTCATATTCTTTTTAAAAAAATTTTTTCTTCATTGATTTTTAGAGAGAGAGGAAGGGAGAGAGAGATAGAAACATCGATGAGAGAGACTGCATGCTTTCCACTGGGGATTTGACCCACAACCTGGGCATGTGCCCTGGCTGGCAGTCAAACCATTGACCTCTTGGTGCATGGGTCGACGCTCAACCACTGAGCCACAACACCAGCCAGACTTCATCCATATTCTTTAAAAGAAAAAGAAAAAAAAATCTTCCTTTCTTAAGAACACTTAATAACTAAGCTTCACTACTGCTTGTTATCTACCTTTCAGCTTAAAGTGGGGTTTATGTAAATAAATAGAATATTAAGTGGGACTGATCCTTGCAATTGCTTCTATCACTGAAGCAGTTAAAGAAAAATACAAAACCCAGGAATTCTAAAGTCCCTTTCCAGCTTCTCCGTGAAGCATAAAATGAACCTGAAGTCTCTGGACTAATTCTACTGAAAATTACTTCGAGTATGTACTGGAGTTGTCTTACCCAGTATTATTTAGATTGCACAGTAACTGTTCTTTTGGAACACATGTTTGCCTACTGTTCTAAAAGAGGAATTTGTTCTGAGATACTTAATCACTACTCCTGTCTTTTACAGAGAATTTTGCAAACCTTTACTTCCTGTTGGAAGAGCTGGGATCTTGATTTCAGAAATATTGCACCTTCTATGCAAACAAATGGTGAGTGTTAAACTGAGTATCAGACTCAACAACATATTAGGAAGAGCAGTGCTTTTCATCTTGGTTTATCTGTAAATAGCTTAGATATCACTGTGCAAGTAATTCTGTTTCCTTTTATTATTTGAAAAAAGAATGAGGTCTCTGTTTCAATCTAGTTTCCTCCAGGGGTGTATTTGTCTTTCTGTTTACTAGTTATTTGGAAAAGAATTACCTAATCTCCACTAGATTTGACATAATTCTAAAGAATTTCAAGATACGTTTTATTTGTGGCTAGTAATTTTATCTTCTCTTGAAACAAAATGACTACATTATTTATACTTTTTAACTGATTTCAATGAAAACTCCTCTGCTTTCAGAGAAAGACAGGATTCATAAAACGATTGGTTTTTGCCCTGACTGGTGGATTGGTTGGTTGGAGCATTGTCCCATCCACCAAAAGGTTGTGTATTTGATTCCTAGTTAGGGGCACATACCTAGGTTGTGGGTTCAGCCCCTGATCAGGGCCTGTACAAATGTACCCTATCAAGGTTTCTCTCTCACATCAATGTTTCTCACTTTCTCTGTCTCTAAAAATCAATAAAAACATATACTCAGGTGAGAATTTTTTTTTATTGATTTTATTATTTTTGGATCTGGGCTAGGTAATCTGATTACAAATAGGTGGTAAAAATGATTCTGCAGGATTGTGAATTTCTATCTTAAATTGATTTTAGTTTAATAAATACTACATAATTCTCTGCAAAGCTCTGTGTTTAGGATCTCAGTCTACAAAGAAAACTAAACCTTCAAGGAATTTATAAACTGGAGAGGGAGACAGGCAAGTCTAAACCAGTAGTTTCAAAAGAGTATGTCAGTGCTATAGTAGAGGTCAAAGAGGGTTTGGTTTGGGAAAGAGGTGTAGCATCACAAAGGTGAATGAAAAATGTCAAAGGGGTGAAAAATGTCAAAACAAAACAGAACTCAGGCATTAAAATTATAGAGTGATTTCTGACTTATTCAGAACATACCCACAAATACTGAATGATAGCTTTCATTGTTTTATAGGCATTGATAAAAAAAATTTCAGTTTATTTCTCCCTCAAAATCTATAGAAGTCTTTCTGTATTACATTTGTGTAATAGTTATTCATAGATAGGTATACTAAATAGCCTGGACTCTAGTTCTAATTGATTAGCTATTTGCTATTAATTGTCTTTGCTTGCTGGCACTAAAGTTTTATTGAACCCTAATTGCAGATTAAAAAATCCCTTCTTCTCTCCCACCTACTTGACTGTAGTCCTTATTTAAAACTCAAATTTTTGTTAACTTTTATTTCTAAAACTAAAATGAAATTCTAATAGAGCATAAACTCTGCAGTCTGATAGTCTGAGTTTATATTCTGGCTCTACCAAGTTATTGGTTATGCCTCGGGCAAGTTACTGTATGAAGTAATTAATTCATGTTCTGTAGATGACAGCTGTATCCTCAAAGCCTGACATTTTCCTTTATCACTACGACTTTATTCAAGAGGTGGAATTGCACCTCCTCGTCAGTTTTCCAAATGACAACAGCTCTTCTCTCTCTTGGGTTCAACCTGTGCTTTTTTTTCCCCTTTGAAATACTCCTGGCTCAGGAGCAACAACTTTCTTACTCATTCTCATGTTAGGCAGCATAATCGTGATCTACAGAGAGGAGTACCAGTGAAGCTTGTTGAATGACTTTAATAGCAGATACTTATCACACTGTCTAGGAAAAGAGACAGTGTTGAATTTGTTAACTCCGTGCTTTGGTCTCTTTTTAGGTGATTATATTCATAAATTCCAAGTACCAGCTTGCAGATCCCCATATTAATCATACAGTAAAATAAATTATTAAACCTTAAACAGCTATACTTCAGTCATTTACCATTATATGTACATACACTCAGACATCTCAGTTTAAATGCTAAGAGTCGTAAGACATTAACTTCATATCAGCAAGGGAAGGTTTTGATTTTTCAGTCTTAACAGTTTTGCACTCTATTTTTTTCTCTTGCCATTGTAAAAGTAAATGGATTTTGACTTATCTCTGTTTCAGAGCCATAAGAAAGTGGGAGCCTTATGGAGGGAGGCTGACCTCAGCTGGAAGGACTATTTACCAGAAGGTGAAGATGTACATAATTTTCTCTTGGAACAGGTAAGAACAAGACTTGTGCCTTCCTGTTTGATTGTATGGATTTGTTTAATTCACGGTTAGAAATATGTATATGTGGAGGACCAGTTTAATTTACACACAGATTTTTGACCACACAGGTGGTTGGTTCTCCTAACTCCCCATTCTGTTCAAGGGCCAACCATAGTAGGTCTATTTTATAGAGTAAATGACAATGATTTTATTAACATTCTAGTCATTAAAATTAGACCAAAATAGGAGTCATGGTCAAGATGTCTTCGTAAGTCCACTTCAACTGTGCATTCATTAGTTATAGATAAAAAAATAAAGTTTAAAAGACTTAGCCCGGCTAGTGTGGCTCATTGGTTGAGTGGTGACCAATGTACCAACAGGTCGCCAATTCGATTCCCAGTCAGGGCATGTGCCCGAGTTGCAGACTTGATCCCCAGTAGGAGTTGTGTTGGACGCAGCCAATCGATGTTTCTCTCTCACACCGATGTGTCTGTCTCTCCCTTTCTCTCTAAAAATAAAATCATAAAAAACATATTTTAAAAATGTAAAAATTAAACTAACCTTTAAAAATGAGGGCAATGCATATTTGGAAACTTAACACACTTCTAAATAACCGATGCATCAAATTAAAAATCATAAAAGGTCATAAAAATTATTTTAAACTGAATGAAAATGAAAACAACATATAAAAATAGGTGGGATACAACTAAAGCAGTATTTAGAGTGAAACTTATAGCACTCAACACCTGTATTTAGAAAAGTGGGTCACAAATTAGTGGCCTCAGCTTCAGCCTTACAAAAATAGAAAAAGAAGAATGGCAAGTAAATAGAAAAAATAACAAAGATGCAGAACTCAGTGAAACAAAAACAATAGAGAGAAGTCAGTGAAGTCCAGTGCTGATTCCTAGAGAAGATAAACTTGATAAACCTCTAGACCTGCGGGTCGCAGCCTCTTTGGGGGTCGAACAACCCTTTCACATGGGGCACCTAAGACATAACAGTAGCAAAATTACAGTTATGAAGTAGCAGCAAAAATAATTTTATGGTTGGGAGTCACCACAACATGAGGAACTGTATTAAAGGGTCACGGCATTAGGAAGGTTGAGAATCACTGCTCTAGACAGAGTAATCAGGAAAATAAATTAAAAGAGAAGACACAGCCTGGCCAGTGTGGCTCCGTGGTTGAGCATCGACCCATGCACGAAGAGGTCGCCGGTACCATTCCAGGTCAGGATGTGTGCCCAGGTTGTGGGCCTGATCCCCAGTGGGGGGCATGCAGGAGGTGGGCATTTGATGTTCTCTCTCATCGAAGTTTCCCTCTCTCTTTCTATCTCCCTACCTCTCTCTCTAAAATCAATTTAAAAATATTTATTTAAAAAAAAAGAGAAGACACAGCCCCAGTCAGTGTGGCTCAGTGGTTGAGCATTGACCCATGCACCAAGAGGTCGCCGGTTCAATTCCTGGTCAGGGCACATGCCCAGGTTGTGGGCCAGATCCACCAGTGGGGGGCATGCAGGAGGTGGCCAGTCGATGTTCTCTGTCATCGATGTTTCTCTCTCTCCCTTCCTCTCTCTCGAAAAATCAATAAAGAAAAATTAAAGAATTAAAAAAAAAGAATAGATAACCTGAATGTTACCTATTAAAGAACTTGAAATAGTTATAAACATTCCCACAAAGAAAACTCCAGCCCCAGTGGTTTCACTGGTGAATTCTACCAAACATTTAAGGAAGAAATTATATCAGATCTGCAAAAATTCTATACCGATTTTACCAGATAATTGGAGGACAGACTACTTCCCAACTCACTCTAGGAGGCCAGTATTACTTTGATAAACAAAACCAGACCAAAAAAGAAAACTATAAACCAAATTCCTAATTAACATAGAGAATTGCTTAAGAAAATTTTTACAAATCAACTCAAACAATATATAAAAAGAATAATACATCATAACCAAGTAGGGTTTATCACAGGAATGTAAAGTTGGTTTAACATTTAAAAAATCACCATATGGATGTCAGGAAGATGGAATAAGAAGCTCCATAGTAAGTTCCTCCACTAAAACAACTACTAAGCTGACAACATCTGTTAGAATCAACTATTGGAATTATGCACGACCAACACCAGGGGAATGCTTGATGAAAAAAAGAGGATGGTAAATTTATGGTACTTTTAGTATTTTACATAGCCGTCCCCAGCCCTGTGGCAGACAGCTGGGAAGGCAGAGGCACCTCTTTTTTTCCGCCAGGTTGAGCAGTAAAAACCTTGTCTTCCAGAGATTGGTGTGTGTCTTTTAATCTGCCTGTCAGCTCACTGAGAGCCCAGTGCAGGACCTGGCCATTGTTTCAACACCTCAGGCTAAAAGCAGCTTCCTGGATAGTGTCTATCAAATAATTGAAACAGAATACTCTTGTGTCTTCCCTACACCCCTCTCTTTTTCCCACTGGATCCAGTCATTCACTGAAGTTTCTGAAAGGTCACACTGGCTGACGGTGGAGTTAGTGAATCAGAGTTAGTGAATCAGACTTCAATGACCACATACAAGAAGGAATGTAGTCCCTGTCTAAAAGTCATCAAAGAGATGACTGCAACATTTCTTGGAAAGGGAGATTATGATGTCCAGAGTTACCATATTACCATATTCATAATGTCTAGTTCTTAACAAAAAGTTATAAAGCACACAAAGAAACAGGAAAACATGCTTCTTCCTAGGGATAAAAAAAGAAACTGACAGTCCAGCTGGTGTGGCTCAGTGGTTGAGCGTGGACCCATGCACCAAGAGGTCGTTGGTTCAATTACCAATCAGGACACATGCCCAGGTTGTGGGTCAGATCCCAGTGGGGGGCATGCAGGAGGTGGCCAGTCTGTGTTCTCTCTCATCAATGTTTCTCTGTCTCTCTCTATGTTACTTCCTCTCTCTCTAAAATTGATAAAGGCAAACAAAAAAATTTTTTAATAAATAAATAAACTGACAGAAACCATCCCTGAGGAAGCCCAAACATTGTATATTCAACTTGGGAATATAGATAAAGAAGTAGAAATGAATAAGAACCAGACAAATTCTGGAACTGAAAAATTACAATACCCGATATAAAAATTCACTACGGTCATGCACCACTTAATGCCATTTCAGTCAAAGCTGGACCACATATATGGTGCTGGTCCCATAAGATTATAATGGAGCTGAAAAATTCTGGTCACCTTGTAACACTGTAGCAATCATAATATTGTAGGGTAAGGGTTGTGAAAATCAACAAGGCTATGACTGAGATGACAAACGACTTTAACCTGGATGTGGATGACATTGAAGCAATCCTGGAGGGAGTTCCTGAGGAATTGACCAAGGAAGAGTTGTTGATACTAGAACAGGAACATCGCTGAAGAAGAAGCAAGAGAAAGAAAACTGCAGAAGCAAAAGAAGAACCTCCAAGAAAATTCACAGTGAAGGCTTTAACAGAAGTATTTACAGACCTCAAGAAGCTCCTTAAAAAGTTTGATAGCATGAACGCCAACACTGAAAGGTTTAGATATGCTTATTAGATGCACAAATACCTACTAGTGAGTTACATTTGCCTGCAGTGTTCAGCATAGTAACATGCTGTGCAGCTTGGTAGCCTAGAAGCAATTGGCTTTACCATATAGCCTAGCTGTGTAGTAGGCTATACCATCTGGGTTTGTATAAGAGCACTCTGTGTTTGCACAATGAAATTGCTAATGACATAATTCTCAAACTGTCTCCCTGTCATTAAAGCAGTGCATTACTATAAAGGGGTTCAAGCAGATTTGAGCAGGCAGAAGAAAGAATTGGCAAACTTGAAAAAAGGGCAGTTGAGGTTGTTCAGTCAGGAGTCACTGATTTAGACTAGTCTACTCCCATGAAAATTCATCCTTAATTTTTGCAAAAGCTATGGTCTTTTATTGTTTTGCTAATGAATTTTCTTGTATTTTCCTATGAAACATTGAATTTTTAAAATAAAAAAGTTCCTGTAGTTATTTTTTAAAGCTTTAAATTTTACTAACACATTGGAAAATTAACTCATTAAACATATAAAAATGCTTTAAAAGAAGAAATTGCTCAGTTTGAGGAGTAGAAAGAAAAAATGAATTTTAAAAAATTAACTTTTTAAAAAAGAGCCTAAGGCCCTATGGGACAGCGCTGAGAGCAAGACAAGCCCAGAGTGACGGAGGTGCGCGTACCCAGAAGAGTTCTAGGGGTTTTGTTTGTTTGCTTGATTTTAAGTAGAATCAGAAATACACAATATAAAAAGTTGGGGGAATATTTAGAAGAATAGAGGTGTGAGAATTTTTCAGATCTATAAATAGAAAATGGCTTCTACTGATTATTTTGATCTGGTGTAGAATAGAAGATACCGCTGATGATTTTGTTTTCCTCTCAGGCTGATAGTAATACTGACTTATATCAACATATTTAACATTTTATGTTTCAGAAGTTGGACTTTATAGAGTCTGACAGTTCCTGTTCCTCCGAAGCACTTTCAAAGAAAGAGCTCTCTGCCGAAGAGCTATATAGTCGACTTGAGAAACTCATTATTGAGGACAAAGCAAATGATGAACAGATCTTTGACTGGGTAGAGGTATAACGACTGCGTCACCTTCCCTGATAGCTTGTCAGAAAGACTCCTGAGGGATCTATCTCTTTAATTCACATATTCAGCCTTTCCCTTCATGGGAGTTCTTAACTTTAATGAAGTTTGTTTTTATTCTTACATGTATGTATATTTGAAATGCTAAGGCTGTGTTCCTATTTTTGTAAGATTCGTAGTTTTTGTAAGGTCAAATAAAAATACTAAGAACATAAGCCATTTTCCTGGGTCTCTCCTTAGCTTAGGATATACCCTACATTTTACCATTAAAAATATACATTTTTAGCCCTGGATGGTTTTGCTTGGCGGTTAGAGCATTGGCCCGCGGACCAGAGAGTCCTGGGTTTGGTTCCCACTAAGGGCATGTACCTCGGTTGCAGTCTCACACTGATGTTTCTCTTTCTCTCTTCCTCCCTCTCTCCTTCCTGCTGTATCTGAAGATAAATGCAAAAGTGTCCTCGGGTGAGGATTAAAAAAATATAAATATATATATATATACACACACACACACACACACACATTTCTAACTTTTCTTACATTTTATTAAATACTAGCCTCAATAAAATTAATAAGCAATATGTAGTTATTATGAAGGTGTTTAGCTTAATACACTCCCTTCTGAAATTGTGTTTTTTATCCTCAGCCTAGGACACGTTTTGCATTTACCTTCAGACAGAGTGGGAAGGAGAGAGGGGGGAAGAGAGAGAGAGAGAAACATATATGTGAGAGAGACATATCGAGTGGCTGCCACCCACATGACCTCAACCAGGGCCGGGGACAAACTGCAACCAAGGTATGTGCCTTAGTGGGAACCGAACCCAGGACTCTCCGGTCCACGGGCCAACACTCTAACCACTGAACCAAACCGGCCAGGACGCTTCTGAAAATTTTATACCTTATTTATCTTGTGGAGTCTATTGATCCTGTCTGTTTTTAATATGTTACTGTATTCCTTTAAATAGTAATTCTTGTTTATTTAGGTATGTCTTATTCGTGCACATTTTCCATGGGAACATTTAATAATCCAAGTTGAAAGAAAGCCATGGAGGGCTAACATAGTCTTCTCCCTCTTTATAAATCCTCTTTTATAGTCCTCCTAATTAGTTATTTTTTGAACTACTCCTAGGCATTGAGAAATGATGAAACTTCTGATAATATGTATTTTTTATCTGTTTTCTCCCATGTCTATACAAGATAAGTCTATCATCTTGCCTAGTTGGGAATCCTTTAATTAATTGTGATAATCTATTATTGTATTCCTGTCTTCCTCTCTAGGTTCTTTCATTCTTTCTTGAAGTCTTAGTATCCAGACCCTTATTAGGTTACTCTTATCCAAACATAACCTGGATTTTCAACATCACTCTCGAAGTGATCACCAGATGAGCAGTGATCACACTGAGCACGATCACCAGATGTGGTCCCACAGAGTTCAGTGGTGGTTTTATTTTTTGTTTTGGACTCTGTGCTCTTGGCAGGCTCACCACACTAAACTCAAATTGCTCTTTCTGTGATGTAGTACCCACTCTTTTGTGTTCTATGGTTTAGATATCCTCTACCATTCTGAACTTACGTATTTTGTTTCTGAACCAAAATGGGTTTTTAAAATTTATTTCTGTTTATGTTCATCTTCTTAAAATACACACTTTTTTTCCTCGGTTGGAACATTTTAGATTCTGACTTGGTCATGAAATTTGCTTGCCATCTTTTTCACTTTGTAGTCTCCTTTCATTTCACTAATATGCCAACTGTGCCCTCATCCAAGTTAGGGGTGAAATGTGAACGGGGTGGGGCCAAGGACAAAACAGCATACTTTCAGGGACTAGACTGCACCCCTACCCCCGTGGACAGCTCTTAACCTTTTTATGATGTCACATCATTCTACTGTCTAGTTCTCCTTTTCATCTTGTCTACAAGAAGATATCTATCATTAGATAATTTGTCAAATGCCTTGCTAAAATCCAGAGGAGTCATACCTATAGCCATCTGAGCTACCACATAATAATCAAGTCAGAGAAGGAAAGGTTAGTTTAGCATGACTTGTTTCTCATGTACTTACTTAGTCCTCTTAGTATAACCATCTTTTCTTTCTAACGCTTTAAAAAAAAATAAGTTGGTTTTGCCACTATTTTTTTTTTATTAATTTTTTTCTGTCTTTTTTAATCCTCACCCGAGGACATTTTTCCATTTTTTGTTCCAGATAGAGTGGGAGGGAGAGAGAGAGAGAGAGAAACATCGATGTGAAAAGGACACATCGAGTGTTTGCCACCCGCACGACCCAACTAGGACTGGGGACAAACTGCAACCGAGGTACGTGCCCTTAGCGGAAACCGAACCCGGATCTCTCTGGACCACAGGCCAACTCTCTAACTGCTGAGCCAAACCGGCCAGGGCTAATTTTTTTCTTTATTGATATCAGAGAGATGAAGGGAGAGAGAGAGAGAGAGGGAAAGATCAATGAGAGAGAACATCGATTGGCCGCCTTCTGCCTGCTCCCCACTGGGTATTGGGCCCACAATCTGGGCATGTGTCCTGACCGGGAATCGAACTGGTGACCTCCCAGTGCATGGGTCGACGCCCAACCACTGAGCAACACCGGCCGGACTCCTTTCTAACACTTTTAACTCCCTCATGTGATAGTTTCTTATCGAATGTAGCATAGACTCGTATCAAGCTTGCTGGTATGTTATTGACATCATATACCTTCTTTTCTCTTTTAGATGTCAGGTCATTATTTGCATATTTAACATCGTTCTCTTTATGATTTTTCATAGCTCTCCATCATGAGCAGTTTGGTCTTTTGTTTTCACATATATTGTAGAATGTTGCTGATTTTACCTCTTCACCCATGTTGGGCTTCATTTTTTAAATATCTCATTATTTATTTTGTCTGTTTTGGACAAACAATTATTCTTCTTAAAGAGAAGACAAAGGGTAAATTTTACTGAATGTAGTTAATACCTAATAAAGATGACTTTATAAAGGAGCAAGAAAGCAAAAACAATAGTAACTAAGTTCCCAATTCATATAGATGTTTGTTGCTCTGATACCAATATTATAAATCTGATTTTGCTTATGTTTACCAATTAGCAGATCCACCTTTCTTCTTGCCCGTTTTTGTTGACATCTTTGCTTCGTCTATACTTGAATGTTCTTGACATTTTCTTCATGTCTTTTTTGCTCTTGAAGATTCAACTTTATTTGGCAGAAAAAATATGCAGTTTGTTTCTTTAAAATAGAAGAAACCGCTAAATGGTTTGGATGTGGTATTTATTATCTAATTATATTACTCTAATTCGTTTCTTTTTCTCAGATTCTGCTTGAAATTTAATCCCATGGGGATCTCAAATGATAATTTAGTGCTTGAAATAGTTCCATCCACTGGTTTGTAAAGTATTGTTGAGCCAGAAAGTAATGGTGTGCTTTTATTCTCTCATCTGTTCTTCACAAATAATTGTTCAGACATTGAAGTAATTTCTGGGGCTAGACCAGCGTTGCTTCAGTCTAAATAAAATATTTTCAAAAGAGGTATAAAACAGCAGCTGACTAGAACACATACATCGTCTTGAAATCTTTTACGTGTGGCTCTTGCCCACTCCATCCTCAACCTTCGCTGTCAGTAGTGCAGCACAGGCCTCTGTTCTTGGGGGAGAGCAGTAATGAAGCCTCTTCCTGTAACACAGCCCTCCATGTTCGACTCTGCCGGTGTCCGCACAACTGGCCACCTCACTTGTTAGCACTCTTAATTCTGCTCTCAAGAAACTGCCAGTTCCTCCCGAGTGATATTTGAGGTTAGGTATTTGACAAAGAGAAAGCTGCTAGTTAATCCTGTCAGTTCTTAAATTCATAAACATTAAATTGATTATCTCTAAATATCTTTGGAATTCCTAGCTTTCTAACACAGAAATTTATAATGACAGCTTTAATTTTTTTATGGCCATTTTTAGACTGACCCTTTAAAAAAACAAGCTGAGACAACTATTAATTCTGTTCACAGGCATAAGGAACATAATTTTGATAAGTATTTAAAATACCTGCCTAGAAAATGTCTTCTTTTAATTGTCATTTCCTTTTGCTACTCATCTAGTTCAGGACAGTGTTTTATAGCAAGAAGATATTAAGAGAAGCAAGCTAAAAAATAAGTTTAGGGCCCATTTACTTAACATACTTCTAAATAGATTTTTTTGCTATCCTTAGAAAAGAGTATCTGTTTTGCCACCATCATGTGAAGGATTTGTTTGAGGTGATGCTTGAGATTACTCTCTAATTCAACATTAAAATTAAGATGAAAAGCAGTGTTAGCACACCTAAAAGAGTTGCATCTTACTGAGAAAAGTAGCCTTGAACCACACTATGGTTGTGGTATAGTTCTTTCAAATTTATAGATTTGGAGAACTCATCTTAATATAGGTTATTTATTGAGGAGGAAATAATGTTTTTAAATCATTGCACTTACAAATGTATATAGTACACAGCACTGTATTATAGAATAAGCAAAGGATAGGCAGTGATAACACACCCCTGAAAACTAAATACTGCTACTTAGACAACATTTTCAGTCAGAACTGGCAGTAGCCTAAGTATTTTCCAGTGAATTCAATGATTAATTTTTGCAAGAAAGTTGAATGTGTGACCCCATCTTCCCTTAGTGCCAGACTTAGTTAAAGAGAAATAATTTCTCTGCTGTGTGAGAGTATCTTTAACTGTTCCATTTCCTGTTGATATCAGGCTAACCTAGATGAAAGCCAGATGAGTTCACCTACATTCCTTAGAGCTTTAATGACAGCCGTCTGTAAAGCAGCTATTATAATAGGTAAGTAAGGTTTCTAAAGGCAAAACTTAACATCTGAAATCCTCTCTGTGTTAAATACTAATGATTTGGACCTGAGTTTGTATTGTCTTTAAAGCTTGTCCTATATGGCTCAGTTATGGGTGCCCTTCTGTCTCCAACGCCTGGCTGCCTCAAGCAGGGCTCCACTAGCTGCTCTGCCTGCAAAGAGCCCAGATCTGAGCAGCTACTGCATGCCTTTGGTTGTATTGTATTGGGTTGCATGTGGCTTTTTTAGTTCACATTAAAATTTGTGAATTTACTTTTCACCGCCAACATTCAAAGCCTCTTCCTCCTTCCATTCAAGAATTTTAATGAACAGGGTGAATATTCTTAACCCACTAATATCAATCAAGACTAATCTTAACAGGAAAGCCATTTTATATAAATACATAAATGAAGAAAGAAATACCAATTGCTGCTTCTGCTTTATGTTGATCTTATATAAGACAATTTCATTGAATGTTGTTGATGGATTTCATAGATAGATAGGATTAGGATTTTAGGATTGGTAGAAACCCTAAATATTCCAAGCTGCCTATAATATTTAACAATATTTAATGAGATCATCCTATTAACCGCACAGAAATCCACATATCTATCACTGAAATAGGGGGAAAATTTTCTTCTGCTCAAAAGTTCTTCAGAATTTTAGGTCTCTCTTTATTATTTTTGAAGATAGTTTCAGAATTGTCATTTTAAGATTTTCTGTCAATGAATGTTTTTTCAATGTTAGTTCTTTAATGAGGTAAACAAGCTACATAGTCTTAAAATTTTTTAAATAATTTCCATTGTCTATGGAAACATAAGACTTTGATACTGTAAAATCAGAGTCGGAAAATATAAAAACTGCTTTTAGAAACAAGATTGTGTCCTAGTGCCAATTCACAGAGGAAATAAAACCTTTTACCCCTTGACTCTGAGGGTGCTTTCCTCGGCCCCTTTGTATTGTGCTTCTGCCAAAAGGCCTCGATCAGATAGGTTGTTGGCCACTGTCACAGTTAGTCCTCATCCTCCTTATAATCAAGTGGTTCTAATTATTTTATCCTTCTGAAAAGATTTGCATGAACTATCACCCTAATTTCCCTTCTAATGTTCCGATTCTAGTTTGGAATGCCATAAAAACCACTGTATGTTTGACTAAAGATAAAGACTTGGGTACACAGCTCTTGAGGGAACCCGGCACACAGAATATATAATCCTCTCCATGTTCTTTTATTATTTCAGAAAGAATGTCCCATTAAGAATTTCAGAACATTTTGAATTTCAAAATCTCTGCCTTGGACCCTCTTGTTTCCTCCTTCCTTATAGAGTCATATGTGACTTAATGACTCAGAAACTGAAAATGGCTGTGTATTAATTCCCTAAATCTAATGCTTAGTTCTTCTATCACCTCTAGCTGACTGTTCCACCTTCCGAGTGGACACTGCTGTTATCAAGCAGAGAGTGCCGATCTTACTCAAATACCTTGACTCGGATACAGAGAAGGAACTGCAAGCACTTTATGCACTACAAGCATCAATAGTAAAACTTGATCAACCTGCCAGTAAGTTTACATCTTGCTACAATTAACCTAAACAATGGGTGAGATTTACCCAGGCCAAGTCTGTCTAATAGAACTTTCTGCAATAATGGAAGTACCTTGCAATGTGGTAACCATAAGCCACTTATGTCAGTGGAGCACTTGAATGTGGCTGTTGTGACTAAGGAACTAAATTTTAAATGTAAATAGTCACTGTGGTTAGTGGCTACCCTATTAGTGGCGGTCTCGGGCATCTCCATATTAGTGTGTGTATCATATAATATCTCTCTTTTTTTGACACAGGTCTTAATAATGAAAGAGAATGATACTCTTCAGAATCTTCAGGCACCCAACAAAGACATTAAGGCATTAAAAAAATTTTTTTTCCTTTAGTGGTATTAGAGAGAGAGGAATTGAGAGGGAGAGAGAGATAGAAACATCGATGAGAGAGAACATCAATTGGCCGCCTCCTGCATGCTTCCCACCAGGGATCAGGCCCACAACCTGGGCATGTGCCCTGACCGGGAATCAAACCGGCAGCCTCTTGGTGCATGGGTCGACACTCAACCACTGAGCCACACCGGCTGGACCATTAAGGCATTTTAGATTAGTTTTCAGTTAAGGGTTATGATGAATTCTGGCTAATGAGACAAATAAGGTAACCTGAGACCTAAGCCTTGGTGATATTGGTAAATTAACTGAATTGTATTAAATCTTAAAAATTTAGTTGGAACTTGTGAGAGTGGTAATCACATGGCTATTTTAAAGATGAAATAGTTCCTTGGCACTTCCTTAGATTGTGACTTTGCAAAGTTTTCCTTCTTTGCTAGTGCCGATGAATCTCTCTAGGACAGTGATTTTCAACTAGTGAGCCGCAAGAATTTTTAAACGTGCAATAACTGACTGTTAGTCAGGGGCACTGGCCTCTTTTCCCTTAGATTATCAAATTTAAAAATGACAACGGCTAACACAACAATAGCCGTTGATGTGAATAAATCAAAATTATACTTTTTTTTGGTCAGATTGTCAAAAAATACATTTTTGGTGTGCTGCAGAATTTTAGTAATTAGTTTATGTGTACCATGAGATAAAACAGGTTGAAAATTGTTGTTCTAGGAGATAAAGGAGAAGATTGAAACAAATCATTCTCAGGGTATTACTGGAGAGACGTTGAAGTCTGAATAAGAGAATTAATCTGAATACATTTTTCTCTCTCTCCAGACCTTTGAAAGGTTGTTGAACATTATGGCTTCATTTTTCTATCCTTATAGGATGAGGGCACTAACTTTTCAAGAGATGGTTAAATAGTTAGATGAAATTGATTATCAATTTCAATAAACCCAGGAGAGAGGTTTAATTTTAGCCTTATGACCAACATAATCATGGCCACGTGCTTCCGTTTCCCCCATAGACCAGCTGGGGTTTAGAGAAAAAAGTAACTTCAATTTTACTTTGACTTATAAGATTACAAAATAAATATAAAGAAAAAATTTAATATAACTCATTCTAAACCTAATATTTATTAGCATTTATTGTCTATTCCACTGCTGATACGATTGATCAGCAAACTGACTTTAAATGGATTTTAAGAACTTGTTTGAAGAATTTTTAGAAAAAGAATATGTAAAACCCTCTTTAGGATTTATATCTTTACCAATTTTCTCCCTTTATTAAACAATAATATAGATGAGGTTTCCACTGTGAGAGTAAAATGGAAAATTAAAATTGCCCAGATCAGTCTGGCTGGTGTGGCCCAGTGGTTGAGCATCGACCCATGCATCAAGAGGTTGCTGGTTGGATTCCCTGCCAGGACACATGCCCAGGTTGTGGGCCTGATCCCCATTGGGGGACATGCGGGAGGCAGCCAATTGGTGTTCTCTCTCATCAATGTTTCCATCTCTCGCCCTGGCCCGTTTGGCTCAGCGGTTAGAGCGTCGGCGTGTGGTCCAGAGAGACCCAGGTTCGGTTCCCACTAAGGGCATGTACCTCGGTTGCAGTTTGTCCCCGGCCCTGGTTGGGTCGTGCGGGTGGCAGCCACTCAATGTGTCCCTTTCACGTCGATGTTTCTCTCTCTCTCTCTCTCTCTCTCTCTCTCTCTCTCTCTTCCTCTCTCTCCCTCCCACTCTATCTGAACAAAAAATGAAAAAATGTCCTCGGGTGAAGATAAAAAACAAACAAACAAAAAAGCAAAAATGTTTCCATCTCTCTCTCCCTCTCCCTTCCGCTCTCTCTCAAATCAATAAAGGAAAAAAAATTTTTTTTTAATAAAATAAAATTGCCCAGATCATCTGAGCATTGAAAACAGTTGACAGATGAGATAATTTTAGCCATGTTTTTCATGTAAATTATTACTCTTTTCATTTTGAAAATATTAGAAGGGGGAAAGTGCATCCTGCCTTTTCCTCCCAAAATTTGTAAAAATAATGTATTTTTATTGTAAAATTTCAAAAAGAGAAATGTATAAAAATTTTTTAATTATTATTTTAATTCTCACCCGAGAATATATTTTAGGGAGAGAGAAACATAGATATAAAACAGAAACATGGATCAGTCACCTTCCGTACATGCCCCAACTGGGGATCAAACCGGCAACCTAGTGACGTGCCCTGACTAGGAATCAAACCTGCAGCCTTTTGGTGCACAGGACAATGCTCCAACCAACTGAGCCACCCAGCCAGGGCTAAAAAATTATTTTAGACTGCTTACATCTTCTTTTCCTGTTCTGTAGACAAGTTGTTCAGCTATTTATACTATCAAGGTAGAGTATAATGAATTGCCATGGATGCTCTTCTCTCGAGAAATTAATGTGCATTCATCGGTTGCTTGGAAATACAATCTTTGCTTCACAACTACAGTGCCTTTCAAACCAATGGTTTTTTCATTTCCTTACAGATTTGCTACGGATGTTTTTTGACTGCCTGTATGACGAAGAGGTAATCTCAGAGGATGCCTTTTACAAATGGGAGAGCAGCAAGGACCCCGCAGAGCAGAATGGGAAGGGTGTGGCCCTGAAATCTGTCACGGCATTCTTCACGTGGCTTCGGGAAGCAGAAGAGGAATCTGAGGATAACTAAAACTTAAAATACACAAAAAGAAACAAAAGAAACAATTTAAGTATTTTTTTAAAAAGTTTCACGTCTTCGCCAATCACAGTGCAGCAAGGCCAATTTTCGCAGAAACCCCACGTGTGCACGAGTGGGAGAGGGGAAAGAGAAAAAAGGTGATCATGGAGGAAAAAGGTACTGGAAAAAAGTAACTTCAACCTGAGGGCGGGAGCACTAAAACCAAAATACATGTATTATTTATAGAAAATATTTTCTGTTATAATCTTTTCTTTTTAAACGAGGACTTATACTTTTAAAAAACACCTCTGTTTAGCAAAAAAAAAAAGTTGAGAACTTTTAATTTATTTTAAGGACTGCAAATGCCAGTGTAATTTTTTAATTTGCAGTTTCTGTAAACAACTTGTATAATAGAAAAGCAGAGAAATAAATTTCCCTCCCCTTCAGATGCACCTCACGTTTGTTTTAAAAGCAGAGTAGTTAGTCCAGATTTAAGAAGGTTTGGGGTGAACAAGGTAAGAAAGATTTTTTTTTTTTTTGGCATCAAATCTTTCTGCCTGCCTCTCAGCTTGCTTCAAAAAATTGAGAAAAAAAATCACAATAGTAATCAAAACATACATAACCTTGGAACATAAAGAAATGCTGTGGACCAGAGAACTCCAAGAATTGTTTTAAAAAAAAAAAAAGTGCTACCCTTGGAAAAGTACTCTTAATACTTTTGAAATCTTAGAGCAACTATAAGGCTTGTAAATATATAGAACAAATATTTAAAAAAACAAAAAGAAATTGACTCAATACTATTTCTTTTCACTTTCAAAATATAAAGAACAAAATAAAGACAAACATTGCAAGTTTAAAAAGTAAAATGACTTCTCCTTTTGACAGCTGCTGCATGTGTGCCCATCTCTGGGAGGTGCTGTTTGTCGTCTAATCCAAATCACTCCTGGGAGGGGGGAGAGGGAAGGAGAGAGTGTGCACACGAACACCTGTGTGTGTGTATATGTGTGTGTGTGTGTGTGTGTGTGTGTGTCTACAATTGGGAAATGCAAGCTACTTTTGGGTAAGAAGGGTACTTGTGGAAGAGCCCCTCTGGAAGGCCAGAGACACTTCTTTCCAACACCAACTAGAAATGCATTCAGGGTGGGAGCAAACCTAAGGGCAATTTTTTAAATAAATGAGCGTAACACTGTATGTCTTAGGACTAGGGACATTAATTCACTTTGAGACTACCACTACTTATTTTTAAAACATCAATCACCTTGCCTGGCTGATGTGGCTCAGTGGTTGAGCGTTGACCCATGCACCAAGAGGTCACCAGTTTGATTCCTGGTCAGGGCACATGCCCAGGTTGTGGGCCCAATCCCCAGTGGGGGGCATGCGGGAGGCAGCCAATTGATGTTCTCTCTCACTGATGTTTCTGTCTCTCTCTCCCTCTTCCTTCCTCTCTAAAGTCAATAAAGAAAAAAATATATAAGTAAATCATCAGTTACTTCCAAAGATGTCTTTTAAAGAATGAAAAAAAAACCTCCCTGGCCAGTTTTCTCAGTGGTTAGAGCTTTGGCCTGTGTACCAAAGAGTTACAGGTTCGATTCTGGTCAAGGGCACATGCCTCAGTTGCAATTCAATCCCAGGTTCTGGTTGGCGTCATGTAGGAGGCAACCAACCAATCAATGCATGTCTCTCACATCGATGTGTCCACCTCACCCCCTTCCTTTTCTCCTTTCATCCCACTCTATCTGAAAATCAATGGGAAAATAGCCTCTGGTGAGGATTAAAAAAAAAAAAGAATGACAAAAAACAAAGCTAAAGTATACTTTTTTAAAAGTTGGTGTGGGCTTTAAAGTCAAACCAATACCATCTGTGAAAATCATATTGTTCCCCAACTTCGTCTTCACTGAAGCCACTCATTCTGGTGAGTATAAAACCAACTGTGGTTTGGGCCTCTCTTTCTCCTACAGATTTTGTTTGTTTTTGTCTTCTTTTATGAAGCTGTAGTCTCTGTAGATGGTTTTCTGTTTCAGTTGGTTATAGGCCATCATTCTATAAAATATACTTATGAAGAAAGACAGGCTTCTCCCAAATAAACAGTCTTTGTATTTTGTATCTGGATAACCAAAGAGTTCTTCTGGCTTTCATCTCTGAAGAAATATTCACATTAGGAGACTTGGCAAGATTTGTGAAGCACCCAAACAAAATTTTCCATAGCAATAAGTTTTTTTCAGAATCTAATTGAACACAATACAGGATTCCCACTACGTGAGCCCACAGAGCCCATTCCACAGTCACAGAAAAGCTGTTCTCAAAGAACCAAGCACAGAAAGTCTTGTGACAGCATCTTTCATAAAGGATGGGACCTGAAAAGCTGTTTGGGAGTCTGGCTTCGTGCTGTTGGGATTTCTCAGTTGGAAGAAGCAACCTGATTCTCTGATGTATACTGAGTTTTAACAGCTGCCTGAATCCAAGTGCCATAGGGTTATAATCCAGGAATCTCCTAAGTGATGTAGGATTTGTTGTTGTTTGTTTTTTAATTTTTATTTTATTTTAGTTTTATTATTTTTTTTTAGAGAATGGGTGGGGGGCGGGGGCATCAATTGGCTGCTTCCTGGGCACATGCCCTGATCGGGAATCAAACTGAGGACCTCTCAGTTCATGGGATGACACACAATCCACTGAGCCATACCGGCTGGGCAAGGCGTAACTGCCTTTGACATAATGGCAATATGTTTACAACCATCAGTTAATTCTGAACAGGTTCTTGAGAATTCTTTTTTTTTTTTTAATCTTCACCTGAGGACATTTTATTCATTTTTTGTTCAGATAGATTGGGAGGGAGAGAGAGAGAGAGAGAGAAACATTGATAGGAAAGGGACACATCGAGTGGCCGCCACCCGCACGACCCATCCAGGGCCAGGGACAAACTGAACCCAGGTCTTTCTAGATCACAGGCCGATGCTTTAACCGCTGAGCCAAACCGGCCAGTTAAGATGTAGTTTGACTTGGAATGTGAGGTTTTATTTGTCTTTTTCATTGAAGCACATTTATACATGGTGACTATTTATTGAGTAGCTTGAGGCTGCCTACTTGTCGTGAGAGTAAAAGTGCACAGTAAAGAATAAAATGCTCAAATCAAATTTAAAAACAGAAATGCCTTGAGAAGAACCTCTACTACTAGTTAGTCCCAGTGCACTAGTCTTGCAAAGATCACCTTTCCTATTCAACAAGCTTGAGCTGTAGGTCTGCATATCCTTCAGTAGTTTAGGGAGGGATACTCTTGCTAGCTCCAGATACCACATGTGTCCCCCAGAGGGGAAAATGATAATCTGTTAGTGTTGGGACTACCAAAAAAAAGACATTGTATTACCAAATCATGAAATTATATATATATATATATATATATATATATATATATATATATATATATATATATATGAAACTGAGCCACACTAGCCAGGGTCCCCCTATTATTAACATCGTACATTACCATAGGCCATTTGTCAAAACTAAGAAACCAGCATGGGTATGTTACTATTATCTCCAGACTTTACTTGGGGTTCACAGATATCCTCTTTTTTGTGCAGGATGCATTCTAGGATACCACATTGTATTTAGTCATCATGTTTCTTTAGTGTCCTCTGGCCTTTTAATATTTTCTTGTTTGTCATGACCTTGACAGTTTTGAGGAGTCCTGGTTGAGTATTTTGTATAGTGTCTCTCAATTTGAGTTTGTCTGGCGTTTTCTCATGATTAGACTAGGGTTAATTAGACTAGGGTTATTGGGTTGGGGTAGAAATACCATGTAAGTGAAATACCCTACACATCTCATCATATCAGGAGGTACATGACATCATTGATGATGTTTAACCTTGACCATATGGTTAATCTGGTCTCCAACTCTAAAGTGACTTTCCCCCCTTTCTTACTCTAAGCTATTTGGAAGCTAGTCACTAAACCCAGCCCACCTTGGGGGCAGAAGGTAGGAGAAGGGGAGAGAATTAAGCTCCACTTCCTTCCTGGAGTGGGGAGAATATACAGTAGTCCCTCATCTGTGGGGGATAAGTTCCAGGATGCCCAGTGGGTGCCTGAAACCATCGGTAGTACTGAACTCCCTATACACTAGTTTTTTTTTCCTACACATACATACCTGTGATAAAATTTAACTTATAAATTAGAAACAGTAAGAGATGTTAATCAGTAATTAATAATAAAATAGAACAGTTGTAACAATATGCTGTAATAAAAGTTATGTGTGGTCGCTTGTTTCAGAAGATCCCTTGCCGAAATCTTATAGCCTAATGCTTTCTGATGCAACACAATGCTTTCAGAACACGTTTTCTGTTCATGTCTTCACTCAAATGTAATGCCTTTTCCATCTCAACCAAGCACTTATGCATTGTGGCCATAACTTTGGCAGTTCGAGGTACAACAGCAAAAGTATCATGAATTTCTTTTTCCTTCTTCACAATTTCATATATTAGTTCTTACTGTAGATCTTAGCAACCTCAGCATACGAATTTTTTTCTTATTAACTTGAAAACTTTACCTATTTACTTAAAGTAAGTACTTTACAAAGACTTCTCTTGGATATATCTGAATTGCTAGCATCCCTGCTGTTGCACTTTGGTGTCATTATTAAGTAAAATAAAGGCTACTTGAGCACAAGCATTGTGGCAGTTGATCTGATAACAAAGACAGCTACTAAGTGACCAACAAGTAGTTGGTATGGACAGTAGGGAGATGCTGGACAAAGGGATGATTCACGTCCTGGTGAGATGGAGTAGGACAATGAGATTTATCATGCTACTCAGAGCAGCGTGAAATTTAAAACATGAATTAATTTATTTTTGGAATTTTCCATTTAATATTTCTGGACCACAGTTGACTGTGGGTAACAAACCACAGATAAGGGGGGTGGTCTACTGTACTTAAATTATCTGGAATTCTCTTGCAAGGGAGATTTGTCTTTTTTGTTTGTTTCTTTATTCAGTGTGTGTGTGTGTGTGTGTGTGTGTGTGTGTGTATATATAATCACACATTTGCATATTTATTTATACTTTGAGTTACAACCCAATACCCCATTATTTTGTTGCTCATATTGTTCCAGCTTTGGCCTTGGGAGCTCTTTCAAGTTGACTCAAGTGTGCCTTTGGCTTTCCCACACCCTTTTCATTTCATATCACTCTGTAATAATACAATACCATAGGCATGTCTTGTATTTTCACTACCCTCACCCTAGAATCAGCCTTTTAAAAACAACTTTTTTTCCAAGAAGCCATGTTTTTGTGTTTGTGTGTTTGTTTGTTTTTAGGGGAATGGTATTTAGAAACCAAAATCTGAGCACTGAATGAACTCATTACTACTGGGCGTCTCTGCTTCTAGGTCTGCCAGCATTTTAAACTCTGATTTTTAACTGAAAGTGAGATCTTGCCAGGTGAGTAAGCCACTTTCACAGGAACATTGAGTTTTAGAAAATACGCTGCTGCTGCTTTTTGTTTGTTTTTAATGTGCTCCAGGCATGAAACAGCTCTGGCCACCAACACAGGCATCAAGCTGGGATGAACTGAGGACTGGACGTCTGCTCAGCCCCTGAGTGATATAAGAGCAACACCACCAATCGTGTGTCTCCTAGCCCACTGCCAGGGGGTTTATGCTTCATTTATTATAGCTGTAGTACCCAAAACACTTAACCATAAAGATGGTCCAGTCATGCTTTTGTTTATCCTGCTAACAAGAAAGAAAAGATTGGGAACTATTCCCT